TACGACCCGAAAATTAAACAACACAAAATCCAATCAATTTCTATCAGTTTTGATTTCGAACTCGCCCAAACAAGTTCAACACGAAATCAAAACATTTCGACACGATCATTTATTTGTAATAATAACCACAATAAGCGAAATTCGCCGCATCAGCTGTGGAGTTATCATTTTATATTGATATGGTTCGATAAAAAGTTAAAACAACGAATTTTGTTTTAAAATTAGAGTAACTCGATACATTAATTAGTAGGATTAGAGCAAAAATGTCTTTCTTATCTCATTTCTATTCAAATTGAGCCTCGGGGTTTCGGTTATAAACCCCATACAAAAACGGAAGTTTCTTAGGATGATACAAACATGTATTACGAGTGGGGAACCGAGCAAACAATGGGAGCCCGGAATTTTGATGATAAATAAAAAACTTTTCTAATACGAAAACATCTTCTGTATTATTTTCCGGTACAACAATAAAGAAAAAAATAAAATGTTGAGTTATGATCTAGTAAACAAAATTAAGTGGGAGGAAATAAGAAGTAAGGAAAAGTTTTTGAGAAAACAAAAATAAAGTGGTTAATCATTTTTTATTTCCAAACTTTTAGTTCTATAAACTTTTAAAGCTTAAAACATTTAAAGAATTCTAATTGAAATTTAAACGCTTTTTTTTGATTGTAAAAGGTCGTAAAACCTGTTGTAGTAAGTATACTTTTTCGCATTCGGTTTCCGAATTTTCCGCCCGCTATGTTGACATTTCGCGTGATTAATGCAGTTAGCGCTGACCTGGAAGAAAAAAGGGGTTTCCATTATTATACATCACTTACTAACCAACGGAACGCAACCAACAAACAAAACAAAAAAAGCATTTTTAAAAAATTACGCCTCTTCTTTCACCTCGTAATCCTTCCCCCGTTGTTGCATTTTCATTAATTAACGTAAAAAACTTAAAACCCACAGATGTATTAACGTTTTATACCTCGAAATTAATTTTTCACTTGAAAAATTGTCCCTGCAGCAAAAAAACGACTGTTAAAAGCGTAAAAATGGGGACAATTTAAATAAAAATTGTTTACAAGGTGAATTTATAAAAAAAAATTGGGGATTATTAAAAATGGCGAAACACAATTCATTGACGTTCAGCGAACACGAAAATATAAATTCAAACGACCATGTTTCCGTGACGTTATGGACCTATTAAATTCTGGAACCCGGCCGAAATTTTGGTCGTAAGTTACCCCTGATGTATAGAGCGCACAAAATGCAGGACGTTTAATGGAGATTGAATTCAAAAAGAAGAATCATCCTCATAATTTTAATTTGTTAATTAAAAAATGATCGTGAAAAAGTGCCAATTTTGGTACTGCATTCTGCATTCTCTGCACGTGGTCCATCCATTTCTCTTTCAAGTTGAGTTCTCTGAAGAAATGAAAATTTGGTAGTTCCGGAGAAAAAATGATGTTCCACCATCTACCAACGTCAGGCGCCCACAGTAGGCTGGAGGAAAGCTTTTTCTCCACACCAGCCAAAAAAAAAGGGTTGAACGAAGATACCGCCAGAAAATATGTGTTATCGCAAGAAGAAAAATCACACAAGAAAAAGGATGCTGCATAAAGGTTGGGTTGGGTTGGGTTGTAGGAAAATCAATACGGATATAGAAAGGGGAGATCCACCATACAGGCTATTGAGAAAGCGCAAAAAAGTGTTGACCAGATTAAAGAGAAAACATTAAAAAATAGAAACTGTTTTTCACTGATACAGGAAAATTTCAGCCCATATCTGATGGAAATGGTTAAGTTATCTTTTTGACAGAAACATAATTGCACCAAACGGAACAACGTATCAAGTAACTTGCGGGGTACCGCAGGGGTCATTACTGGGGCCCCTTTTATGTAACCTATATTACGACAAAATACTAAGATTAAACTTGGAAGCTGGAGTAGAACTCATAGCTGACGACTTGGCACTCGTGGTTAAAGGAAGAGATGAGAGACAATTACACGATAAGGCGACCTACGCAGTCCAACAAATAATTGCTAAGCTTAAGGAGATGGGACTTAGTATTGCGGCACAAAAAACCAAATTGGTGCTATTGCAAGCAAGGAGGAAGGTTAAAACCCTTAGCCTGGAGGTTGATGGAATGATAATTCAGAGTGTAGAGAGGGTAAAGTGTCTCGGAGTGATGATCAACAAAGATATGACCATGACCAGACATGTTGAGGAAGTAACAAGCAAGGCGACGTATATGTGCAACGTGATACTAAGATTAATGCCGAACTTGAGGGTGCCAAAATCAAGGAAACGAAGACTTCTGTCAACGACGACTACTGCAACCTGCTAACACGAGTAAATCGAAAACTGGCAATTGGAATAACATCAGCATATCGGAGAGTGCCGGCGGACGGAATTCAGATCATTGCTGGATTGCCCCCGATGGACTTATTGGTGCAGGAAAGAACGGAGCTGTACAGTAAAGGAAGAGAATCGAAAAGTGAAGGCAGGGAAAAGATGATGAACGCTTGGCAGGTAAGATAGCTACAGTATAGAACCATGAATTGGCAGAAAATGGGGAGAGGTAGACTTCTACCTAACTCAGATGTTAACCGGTCATGGGGTATTTAAGCAGTACTTACACAAAATTAAAAAAGCAGACTCTGAGGAATGCTGGTTCTGCGAAAACAAAGCGCAACATACTCGGTTTGAATGTGAAAGATTTTCTAGACAAAGATCAATTTGTGAATGGAAATGTGGTCAAACATTAAACAAAGAGAATGTCATCAGAGTAATGTTGGAAGCTGAAGACAATTGGAACGCTGTGAAGTTTAAAGAAAGCCATGAAAGAATCTTGGAGGGGGATGGTCAGGGAATAACAACGAGAGGTCACGAACCAGACTCAATGTGAAGAAGAGGACAGCTATACAATATGCGGAAGCAACACCGCCATTCTGCAGCTAATGAAAAAATAAGAGTAAAAATTCCAACCGTGATGAAAGTCAATATAAGAAGTGTCCGGGTCGACAAGTTCTGGTGTGTGGTACCAATGATGATGAGGCTTTTTGTGTTCTTTCCCCGAAGTAATACCCTGATGGGCGGTTCCGGGAAGAGAGGGGGAAGGGTTTTAGACGGTCGGAATCTGCTCGAACCCGTCACTACTCGTCTGGTAGCAGATTTCCTAATCCCCTCTATAAAAAAAGATTGGGTTGGGTGCAATGAGCTGAATGATGACATTTGGGAGAATACGTATATGATCATTACGAGGAACTAATAAGAAAATTATCTTCTCAGTTAAAAAAAGCTAATTGGATGTAATCATACAAAGTTAGAGGCAAATAACAGGTCCTGGTACTGCAGTGCCAATTTTGGTATTCTGCCATTCTACATTCTCTGCATCCATTTCTCTTTGTATTCCTAGATTTTATCGTTAATTGCGAAAATTTCCGCGGAATCTACCTTGCCTAGGTCCTTTTTCCTTCTCATCCATGCTTCGCTGCCATACATCAAGGTCAGTATTGCCATTATCTTATAAAATTTCATTTGAGTATCCTTCCTGCACTTATTACCCAAAATTCCACAAATTAAGTGTGGAACTATTAGACGAATCGCATCCTAGGTATTTAAAGTGGCTTATCTGTTCTAAGCGAGCGTTATCAATGTATGTCTTAGTTCTTATTGGTTCATTTCCTATGAATGCCATTGTTTTTGCTTTTGTCTTAAATATTTCGCCGTTGTACTTATACTATTGAGCAAGTATACGGCTTTTTGAAGGTTTTCTTCTGACGTAGCAAAAATTAGTTAATCATCTGCGAAGAATAGTGTTTTCAGGACGTTGTTATGGCGGTAGGCGGATGCCATTTGGAACTTGATTCTTCCATTTTTTGGTTAGATCATCCATATACAGTGAATTTCACATAAGGTGCAATATACAAAAATATATTTCCAGGAAACCAGGGCAACCTTAATATTTTCAAGTATTTTCAAGTTCGTCGAGCGTTATCCACTGCATTGTTCTAGTGGTTATCTCCCTCCTTTAAAACCTCTGAGTCTCTAGGGTTGAACAATAGGTAGTACTCTATAGTGCTGTTTCCATCAACCCTTATCTACTAGTAGATCATTGCGCGACTCACTCCCAAGAATCGAGGCTAAATTTGAACTGAAGGTACCATATCATATCATCATTAGACATAAAAAGGGAAGAACAAAAAAGGAATTACGACAAACCTCGAACCAGGCGATCGGGTATGGATAATAAATAAGAAGCGGGAAGGCATAATAAAAGGAACAACCGACAAATCATGACCTTGATATTGTAGAAACGGAAAAATAACATCTCCAAAGACTACCAGAAATCAGCGAACCTCAATATTTGGAAGAGGCCGAAACCAGGACGCAAATAGATGAAGAAACACGGAGGAGCGGACGTGAAAGAAGAATTCCAAAAGACTTTGACAAATAAATTATAGTGTGGGCAATATATGGGGAAATATATGCATGCTTCTTCTCGTTAATTGCCTCCAGTATTTCTTCATTCCACATTTTCAACTCTCTTTTCTTATAGTTTTTCTTCCTTTTTCCTAAGACTTCGTTTACAGCGTTGTGGATTATCTTTTTCAAGTTAGTATTGATTGCAAGTAGTTAGCTAATCTTGTTTGACGCCATTATCCTTTAATAGATAGATTTTTCTGTTTTTTGCTTCCTCTCTTTGATCCATAGACGTGGTATTGCGATTTTAGCTTTTAGCAAAAAATGGTCTCTTCCAATGTTTGATCCTCTATAGACATGTGCATCCAACACCAACCCAAACAGTTTCCTATTCACTATGATCTAGTCAATAATGCTACGTTTACTTCTTATTTATTTTCAGATCGTTGTAGGGCGCAAATTGTCTAAGATAATTTAAAAAAATGATAATTTCAGTTTAATCACTTCATTGTTATTTACTTACGTGTTATTAACCTGTTATAAAGCAAAGCACAAAAAATTAGCGTGTTTAAATAAAATTACTACCAGCGTATAAATTACCTTCTTTACTGACTTGTATAAAAATACATAACTTAAATTAATTAACTAACTAACGAAAGAAAAACAATAATTACATGCTATATATAAAGAATTTCGCACAGTAATCATCCTTGAAAACTGTGCTATGAACATAAAATTGGTTAGAAAACGTGTCGCGTTCGAACGTATAAAAAGTAAATAAACTCTAATAATGTACAATTAAATACAAATTCAAAATTGCGGTGTTTATGCTTAGAAAAAAAATGTTATATATATTCGCTGAGCGAAATATATATATATTTTTTCTTTTCCCTTGTAAGTTTTAAATCTAATCAGTGCACTTTATTGAGGTTCTCGTTTTAACGCGTGAACGGTTCACGGTGAGGTACTTGGTGATACTTTGCTCCCAAAGTTGTGATATATTTTGGCGTGCTATGGTGATGCTGTCTTTCTATGTTATCTTTCAAATCTTTGGCAATAAACTTCACCTGACATGGATCATGGCGCAACAAAAAATGTTCTAACGTATCCCAACCACCACCAACTCTCACCATTGTATGACGTCCTTTTAATAACTACAATAAAATAAAAATTAGATAATAAAAAAAATTTTAGCGATTTTTTTACCCTAACAAAAACATTTCTCCCAGCAATGTTATATTTTCCCTCCCCAACCTTTCTTACAGTCAATCTTGAACATCTCCCACTCAAACAATTACAATTTCTTTGTAATAATTTGGTTGTTTCTTGTACTTTCTTATCCAATTCGGTTAAAATGACTTTTTCATTTTGATGAACAGTTTTTGTTTCAATTTCCGGTTCTTCTCCGCTATCCCTTGATGAATTATCATCGGTGTGCTCGCTAAAAATCCCATCGCTTGCCTCACTTAAAGTTCTATTCATCGTTTTTTTGATAACAGAATCTCCAGCGGATTTTGTCCTATCCAAATCGACAGATAACAAAATTTTTGGATCTAAACTGCGTCTGTTTTCTGTATTTCTAACAAGACTGCTATGTAATAAATAAAAATAAGAAATAAATAATTAAAAGGATAAATTAATTACCCGTTACATCTCAAATTTGGTTCATCTGCGATTGGTGAACTTGCTTGGAATTGCCACGAGATTAACGAGCCTAAACCGGAATCGCCCGTATCACGTTCTTCTTCGGCGATTTCTTTTTCAAATTGAACCAAACCCGGCGGATCAACGCCGAATTTCGTTGCTATTCGGGCCACTTCTAAAAGACACAGGATGACGTTTCTTGGTTGATTATGCAAAACCAAATCGTCGCTTTCAAAAAGAAGATTTTCGTGAACTCCCAAACTTCGACAAAATTTGATAAAGTTTTCCATGTTATCTCTTGAAAAAAAACTGCGTCTCATTGCTTTTTCGAAACATTTTCCTCTTATTGATGGACAAGGCTAAAAAGAATATTTAAAATTAATCTTTAGATATCAAAATATTTAACATTCATTAAGAACTAATAAAGTGCTCGAACAACACCTTCTTCCGCGTATAAATCGACCCAGAAAGATAATTAATGTCGCTGTTGAAATCCAAAGTATAAAGAACAAAATTGTTTGCCTTCATGAAGTGACCCTTACTTTTTCATCGTTAATTGCCCTTAGACTCTAACCACGTCCAGAGATCTTCTCGACTGCTCTCGGGGGCATAGATATCGAGAAAAATACGAAAATATGAAAATCTGTTGAATTCATTGTTCTTTCAAGTTGCTGGTGGTAGGATGGTAGGGGAATCTAAGAATGTTACAAAAAAACTTTTAGAACAAAAGTTGTAGGAAATTTTATTCTTAACAATATTGCGCTCTTCCACTATTGCTCTCAGACGTATAGATATCGAAAAAAATACAAGAGTATGAAAATTTGTTAAAATCGTTATTTTTTCAAGTTGTTGATGGTAGTTAGCACTGGGAAATCTGAGCATGTTACCATAAAACTTTTAGAACAAAAGTTGTATAAAATTTTATTCTTAACAATATTGCTTTCTTGTACTTTTACTCTCAAACGCATAGATATCGAGAAAATTACGAAAATATGAAAATTTGATGAATTTGTTGTTTTTTCAAGTTGTTGATGGTAGCATTCGAGAATCTAAGCATATTACAAAAAAGCTTTTAGAATAAGAGCTATAGGAAATTTTATTATTAACAACATTGCTCTCTTGCACTTTTGCTCTCAAACGCATAGATATCGAGAAAATTGCGAAAATATGAAAATTTGATGAATTCGTTGTTTTTTCAAGTTGCTGATGGTAGCACTGGGGAATTTGAGAATGTTATCAAAAAACTTAAAGCACAAAAGTTGTAGGAAATTTTATTCTTAACAATATTGCGCTCTTGCACTTTTGTTTTCAGACGCATAGATATCGAGAAAAACAAAAGAGTATGAAAATTTGTTAAAATCGTTATTTTTCAAGTTCTTGATGGTAGTTAGCACTAGGGAATCTGAGCATGTTACCAAAAAACTTTTAGAACAAAAGTTGCATAAAATTTTATTCTTAACATTATTGCTCTCTTGTACTATTGCTCTCAAACGTATAGATATTGAGAAAAATACAAAAGTATGAAAATTTGTTAAAATCGTTATTTTTTCAAGTTGTTGATGATAGTTAGCACTGGGCAATCTGAGCATGTTACCAAAAAACTTTTAGAATAAAAGTTGTATAAAATTTTATTCTTATCAATATTACTTTCTTGCACTTTTGCTCTCAAATGCATAGATATCGAGAAAATTACGAAAATATGAAAATTTGTTGAATTCATTATTTTTTCATGTTGCTGATGGTAGGTAGCACTGAGTAATCTGAGCATGTTACCAAAAAACTTTTAGAACAAAAGTTGCATAAAATTTTATTCTTAACAATATTGCTTTCTTGCACTTTTGCTCTCAAACGCATAGATATCGAGAAAATTACGAAAATATGAAAATTTGTTAAATTCATTATTTTTTCAAGTTGCTGATGGTAGGTAGCACTGGGTAATCTGAGCATGTTACAAAAAAACTTTTAGAACAAAAGTTGTAGGAAAACTTCTTCTTCTTAACAATATTGCTCTCTTGCTCTTTTGCTCTCAAAAGCATAGATATCGAGAAATCTACGAAAATATGAACAGTTTATGAATTTATTTTGTTGTTAAGTTGTTGATGGAAACATTCGCGTTTCTAGTTCTAGGTCTAGTGTTAGCTCTAGTTTGAATTGTTATTCAACGTTAAATTGTTGTGTTTTTTTTATTAAACTAAAACTAGAACTAACACTAGACCTAGAACAATTTAGGTACTTAACTAATACAAAGGAAATTAAAAAATAATTTATTACCCCTTTCAAAAACCCAGCATCAATGGCAATTTTGGCTTTTTCTTGAATATGTTGGGCAAGATGGCATAAAACCGCTCCATTATCCAGCTCGGTTAAAAAATTATCTCTCGTTAGATAATGGATACCTGTAAAAAATATTGAATATTGATTGAAATAAATCGAAAGATATCGTGTTGAAGGAACACGAAAGATAGTACCTGGTACAACAGAAATCCATACTTTTAACCTTCGTTTTTTCATTTCCACTCAATTGAAAAACAATAAAATCTCGAAACATAAAAAAGTATTCAAAAAAAAAAGGAAATTACGTAAAACAAATTTACCGCGAAATAAAATTACGGTTTAAGAAGTATACTTCCTTTTCTTTTTTTTATATAAAAAAAAAACGTCTAATTTTCTTGATTAATTTTATTGAGGTATTGAGGTTGCGCCAGTCACTCATTCACTATACTTTTATACTTTACGTACCTAACGTTTTATTAATCCATTCGGCCAAATCTTCTTTTAATGGGTCCAATTGCCTTAGTTGCGTGTTAATGATCCTCTCGGCGTATTCTTCATCAACAAATTCAGGATCGACGCGGCGTAATTCGTACGAAAGAGAAAAAGGGCCGCAACTATTCCTGTTATATATGACCCTATTTCTTTCGAACGCCATCCTAAGCTGCAAAAATAAATCAAAAACGAAACACCTCGTTAGTCATCTCTCCCTCTCTCTTTCTCGGTGGAAATTTAACCCATTAAATACAAGATTGGGTTACTTATAAGCAAGTTTTTAAGTGGTACTAATAGAGATATTACAGTGACAGGTTTCGAGCTCAATAAGTTTTGCGTTTCTAAATGGTATTTTTTTCTCAATTTATTAATCAATTGCTAAGTAGAGTTATAAATAGTTGAGTTTGATTTGGGGACACCTGGACTTTTAGATTTCTTAATAACCGCGACAAAAACTAATTGGCCTCGATTTTTAGTTGCATTGCCCGGAGTCTTAACGCATGTAAATACGGTCAATTAAAGAGTTTGTGTTTATTGTATACATTTTGAACGATTTATAGTTTGACTATGATGCAATTTGCCAATAATATCGACTGTTAGAAAATAAACACGCAATCTTTAGCGTATTTCACAAGTCAATGAGATGTCTTAAGTGTACTTTATAGACTCGGGCAATTAAAACCCAATGGATTCTTGTTGACCAATCGACCAAAAGCTGTTAACACTCAAACCGAAGAAAGTTAGGTGTTCAAGGAATCAACAAACCGTAAATAAATTATACGTGTAACATAATCTTGCAATTAGGCAAGGTGAAAAATTACAATTTACTTTCACGTGGAAGTAATTTTCGCGTTGTCGATATTTATGGATAAAGTCGATAGATAAAAGCTAAAAAAAATGGTCGCACCAAGAAAGTAATTATGTTTTTTTATGGGTAATTTTAAAATAATTACAACATAAACACAATAGTTAATAATGTAAATATGTTTTCATTTTTGGGTGCGCCGGAAGTAAATGGTATTGTTTCACCCCGACTGTATACATGTCTTGCAATCATCTAATTTATTAAACCCGCCCAACCAGAACGGAAACTCACTAACGTACAAAAGGAGGACGGCTTGAGTCCAATTTCCTCCAAGCAAACTGACCAAAGTGCACTGACCAGACAAGAAGTAAATCATCAAACAATACTAACGATCTTAAAATTAATCTATTTAAAAGACTTACGAAATTAACTAACTTATTAGGTACAACTTGTTTCTGGGTTGCTGGAAAACTACGTTTTGAGCATCGAAATTCGTTGTGCGTGATCGGTTTAGTTTTAAAAACTTGGAGACAGACAGTGCCAGGTTACGATCGTTACCCAAAAATACTGATAAAACCAAACAAATTTAATATTTCACGACAAATTTATGCAAAACATTTCGAATAATTTAATTACAAAAATTAAAAAGTGATTAAAAACTTTCGAAATCAATAACGAACTCCACAATTTCAAGGTAATCAAAAAAATTAACGCAAACGAAAACATATTTATTGAAATATACATCGCTCAAAATAATTATAAATCTTACGCCCGCCGTTTTCGATTAAGATCCCGCCGTGAGAATTATGTAACGAATAAAATCGAGGAAAAAAGAGGCGTAAAGGTAGCATAAATCAAAGCTTTGCACGACAATTGTTACCTCCTACGTCCGAAAAACTGCGTCTTCACGGTACTAAAGATGGAAAAGTCGCCGGGAGCCATCGCGGTAGGTCGAATTTTGCATACTACCAAGTTGTGGGCATGTGCATCAATAAGAATACTTAGAATTGCTATAATACGAATACTTAATAAGTAGTGGACAGCCGTGTTTAATAATTATTCGTTACGACACGGTGTACATTTAGAATTTGACACCTACTCGTAATTAGTTAGACGACTAATTGGTTTAATAATATGATTGAGGTAAAAATTTATTACATTTTAATGATTTACACTGTAATGCAAGATGACTTAATATTTAATTAAGTCGCCGCTTTTTCTATGAATACGCATCACTGACAAATGTTAACATAATTTCTTAAATCTTAAATCAAAGTGGAGCTAAATTGTGTTTTGACTGATACTCCAGAAAGAAGGAAAATAGTGCAGAATAAGTCAAAGAATGTTACCAAGAAATGCAATGTTGCTAAAAAAATTCTGAATGATGAATCATCGCTGTTGAGATGCAAATCATAAGATAAATACGAAAATATGAAAGTTTGATGAATTCAAGATGTTGATGGTAACACTGGGGAATTTGAGTATGTTACAAAAAAACATTTAGAACAAAAGTTGTAGGAAATTTTATTCTTAACAATATTGCGCTCTTGCACTTTTGTTCTCAGACGCATAGATATCGAGAAAAACACAAGAGTATGAAAATTTGTTAAAATCGTTATTTTTGGTGATGGTAGCACTGGGCAATCTGAGCATGTTGCCAAACAACTTTTCGAATAAAAGTTGTAGGAAATTTTATTCTTAACAATATTCTGCTCTTGTAATTTTGCTCTCAGGCGCATAGATATCGAGAAAAATACGAAAATATGAGATTTCTATCAAATTCGTTGTTTTTTTAAGTTGGTGATGGTAGCACTGGACAATCTGAGCATGTTGCCAAACAACTTTTGGAACAAAAGATGTAGCAAATATTCTTCTTAACAATATTGGTCTCTTGCACTTTTGCTCTTAAACGCATAGATATCGAGATAAATACGAAGATATGAGAATTTGTCAAATATGTTGTTTTTTCAAGTTGGTGATGGTAGCAGTGGGCAATCTGAACATGTTACCAAAAAACTTTTCGAATAAAAGTTGTAGGAAATTTTATTCTTAACTATATTCTGCTCTTGTAATTTTGCTCTCAGGCGCATAGATATCAAGAAAAATACGAAAATATGAGATTTCAGTAAAATTCGTTGTTTTTTTAAGTTGGTGATGGTAGCACTGGGCAATCTGAGCATGTCGCCAAACAACTTTTGGAACAAAAGATGTAGCAAATATTCTTCTTAACAATATTGGTCTCTTGCACTTTTGCTTTTAAACGCATAGATATCGAGATAAATACGAAGATATGCGAATTTGTCAAATATGTTGTTTTTTCAAGTTGGTGATGGCAGCAGTGGGCAATCTGAGATTGTTACCAAAAAACTTTTCGAATAAAAGTTGTAGGAAATTTTATTCTTAACAATATTCTGCTCTTGTAATTTTGCTCTCAGGCGCATGGATATCAAGAAAAATACGAAAATATGAGATTTCTGTAAAATTCGTTGTTTTTTTAAGTTGGTGATGGTAGCACTGGGCAATCTGAGCATGTTGCCAAACAACTTTTGGAACAAAAGATGTAGCAAATATTCTTCTTAACAATATTGGTCTCTTGTACTTTTGCTCTTAAACGCATAGATATCGAGATAAATACGAAGATATGAGAATTTGTCAAATATGTAGCAGTGGGCAATCTGAACATGTTACCAAAAAACTTTTCGAATAAAAGTTGTAGGAAATTTTATTCTTAACTATATTCTGCTCTTGTAATTTTGCTCTCAGGCGCATAGATATCGAGAAAAATACAAAAATATGAGATTTCTATCAAATTCGTTGTTTTTTTAAGTTGGTGATGGTAGCACTGGGCAATCTGAGCATATTGCCAAACAACTTTTGGAACAAAAGATGTAGCAAATATTGTTCTTAACAATATTGGTCTCTTGCACTTTTGCTCTTAAACGCATAGATATCGAGATAAATACGAAGATATGAGAATTTGTCAAATATGTTGTTTTTTCAAGTTGGTGATGGTAGCAGTGGGTAATCTGAGCATGTTGCCAAAAAACTTTTCCAATAAAAGTTGTAGGAAATTTTATTCTTAACAATATTCTGCTCTTGTAATTTTGCTCTCAGGCGCATAGATATAGAGAAAAATACGAAAATATGAGATTTCTGTCAAATTCGTTGTTTTTTTAAGTTGGTGATGGTAGCAGTGGGCAATCTAAGCATGATACAAAAGAACTTTTAGAATAAAAGTTGTAGAAAATTTTATTCTTAACAATACTCTGCTTTTGCACTTTTGCTGTCAGACGCATAGATATCGAAAAAAATACGAAAACATAAAAATTTGTTGAATTCGTTGTTTTCTCAAGTTGTTGATAATGACACGGTACTTTGGCAATCTAGGAATGTTTCGATATGTAATAGCTAACTCAAAATCCTTTAATTCCCACTATATCAATATATCATACACTCCCAGAATTTTATCATGTCAATTTTACCATGATTCGTATGAACAGTCGTGGTGTTGATACGGCATCCTTGATTCTGACTTTATGCGTGGGTGCCCAAGATCAAACATCCAAGCCATAATTAAAGAGATGTGACACTCCTGATATCCGAAGAATTCAATCATCACGATGCATATTGCCTCGCCCATCATCAAACTCCGATGGAATTATTGAGCCAAAAACTCTCTACAGCGCATTCATTTCTGCAAAACAGCTTTCGTTGTTCAATTAAAGTGAGATAGTGATTGCTGCAATCATTTTTGTACTTATAAATTATACTTAGAATACATAATCCCACACTTCAAATGGTTGAATATCGATCTCTAGTCTAAGCTGCGTTTTAGCCTGCTCAGTCATCTTCCTCCAATCTGTTTTCTCAAAATACAACCATCCCCACCTCTTATCTCCCATTCTTTCTAAATCTTCAAAAAGTGTCAAACTGTGCGACTTTTACTAATAATTGCTATGTCATCGTCATAGGCTCATCATCACTTGCAATGTTTTAGTAGCAATACACCCAGCCGCCAGTGCACCACCTTATAAATGTAGATGTTAGCTTTCCATCAACTCTTATTACAACCCTAGAACCAGTTGTTTCTATTTGACAGTTAAAGCTATTAAATGAAAATTCCTGCTACACATAAGTAGCAGTCAAAGATCTTACTGAAGCCACAAATTGTTGCTCCCATTCTCATAGGTATCTATGAGGCACAAAAAGTAACAGTTTAAATAAAGATAGAGGTCTTGATTTGGACCTATGTAAAAAGATCATCGTGACAAATGATAAGAAAATGTTATAAACAATTTTATGGCTATTTATATCAAAAAAAAGAAAATAAAACCCAACTACTGCAATTAAAGGTAACGCACGGTTAATTAAAATTAACATTCCTGTCTAATTCGACCGGTAAGTCGAGAGTTTCTTTGTACTTTCATCTATCCCAATAAGAGAATCGCAAGACCCGGAACGAACCAGTTTAAAAAAAAAAACCTTTTAAGACTTTTATTAAACGTGGAAATCGTCACCCAAAAGCGGAACCTCCAAGTTTAGCCTTTTAATAACATGTGCTAGGAGAGTCTTTACCTTTTTTTTTTGGGTGTTCCCAACAACTATGCAACAAGAGCACGTAAAAGGAGTCGCATTCTGAATAATAAGCGTCTAATTTGGGTACGCCCCTAACAGTACCTTGTAATAAGGCCGTAGGAAGGCATTGCGGTAAAATGGAATGGCAAAAACGGTACGGTCAAAAAATAAATTGTTTTTGGTACTCACCGAGTGGATTATTTCCGATATTTTTATAGTTGGAGCCATAAAATCTTAATTAGTACTTAAAAAATATAATTAAAAGATAAGAAATTATAGTGTTAATGACATTAAATCTGTCAAAAATTATTTGTTTCAAACTTTCATTCAACATACTAAAAAAAAACAATATAATTTTCAAACAATACGCAATAAAAAAATAAGAAATTTACGATTTCTTCTAACTCAATGAAAAGAACAATAACCTATTAGATTTTTTATTTTTTATTTTCCTTTTAATGCATTAACAGGTAATATTCATAGTTTAAAATTAGGTTAAAACCGTTGATGTGGGATGATCACGTTATAAAATCAATAACTACACAGGTAGAGTACTCTTTTGGGATTTGAGTATGTTACCAAAAAACTTTTATAACAAAAGATGTAGGAAATTTTATTCTTAATAATATTGCTTTCTTGTACTATTGCTCTTAGATCCATAGATATCGATGAAAATTTATTGAATTTTTTGTTTTTTGTAAGTTATTGATGGTAGCACTGAGGAATCTGAGCATGTTATTAAAAAACATTTAGAACAAAAGTTGTAGGAAATTTTATTCTTAACAATATTGCTTTCTTGCACTTTTGCTCTCAGACGTATAGATATCGAGAAAAATACAAGAGTATGAAAATTTGTTAAAATCGTTATTTTTTCACGTTGTTGATGGTAGTTAGCACTGGAGAACCTGAACATGTTACCAAAAAACTTTTAGAACAAAAATTATATAAAATTTTATTGTTAAAAATATTGCTTTCTTGCATTTTTGCTCTCAAACGCATAGATATCGAGAAAACTACAAAAATATGAAAATTTTTTGAATTCAATTGCTTTTTCAAGTTGCTGATGGTAGCACTGGGGAATTTGAGCATATTACCAAAAAGCTTTTAGCACAAAAGTTGTAGAAAATTTTATTCTTAACAATATTGCGCTCCTGCACTTTTGTTCTCAGACGTATAGATATCGAGAAAAATATAAGGTCATGAAAATTCGTTAAAATCGTTATTTTTTCAAGTTGTTGATGGTAGTTAGCACTGGAGAATCTGAGCATGTTACCAAAAAACTTTTAGAACAAAAGTTGTATAAAATTTTATTCTTAACAATATTGCGCTCTTGCTCTTTTGCTCTCAGACGTATAGATATCGAGAAAATTAGGAAAATATGAAAATTTGATGAATTTGTTGTTTTTTCAAGTTGTTGATGGTAGCATTCGAGAATCTAAGCATATTACAAAACAGCTTTTAGAATAAGAGCTGTAGGAAATTTTATTCTTAAGAATATTGCTCTCTCGCACTTTTGCTGTCAGACGCATAGATATCGAGAAAACTACAAAAATATGAAAATTTGTAGAATTCATTGTTTTTTCAAGTTGTTGATGGTAGCACTGGGGAATCTGAGCATGTTACCAAAAAACTTTTAGAACAAGAGTTATATAAAATTTTATTTTTAACAATATTGCTTTCTTGTACTTTTGCTCTCAGACGCATAGATATCGAGAAAACTACAAAAATATGAAAATTTCATGAATTTGTTGTTTTTTCAAGTTGTTGATGGTAGTAGCATTCAAGAACCTAAGCATATTACAAAAAAGCTTTTAGAATAAGAGCTGTAGGAAATTGTATTCTTAACAATATTGCTCTCTTGTACTTTTGCTGTCAGACGCATAGATATCGAGAAAAATACAAAAATATGATATTTTTGTCAAATTCGTTGTTTTTTCAAGTTGGTGATGGTAGCACTGGGCAATCTGAGCATGTTATCAAAAAGCTTTTAGAACAAAAGTTGTATAAAATTTTATTCTTAACAATATTGCTTTCTTGTACTTTTGCTCTCAAACGCATAGATATCGAGAAAACTCCGAAAATATGAAAATTTGATGAATTCATTGTTTCTTCAAGTTGTGATGGTAGTACTGGGGAATCGGAGCATGTTACCAAAAAACCTTTAGAACAAAAGTTGTAGAAAATTTTATTCTTAACAATATTGCGCTCTTGCACTTTTGCTATCAGATGCATAGATATCGGAAAAAATACGAAAATATGAAAATTTGTTGATTTCATTGTTTGAAAAAACAAGTATATTTCAGGACTAGGATCTAGGACAATTAAGTAAAAGACGTTTTATTGTATTAATGTTTACCAGTTTCAAGAACTTAGGTATGTTTAAGAGGTTAAATTGTTTAATGCTGTTTTTCTATTGATATTTTGTCGTTGTAGAAACAAGCCTTGAGAAAGATTAAAAATTTAATCGAAATATTGTCATGTTAAAATAGTTGTTTTAATTGTCCTAGATCCTAGTCCTGAAATATACTGGTTTTTTCTTACTGCTTACGGGATCAAACAACACAGATTTCCTGCTAATTCATTGTTTATTCTTTATTCAAGTTAATGATAAGCACTAAAAATAACTTATTAGATTTTTATTTTTTATCTCCCTTTTAATGTATTAGTAGGGATGATCACGTCATAAAATCAATAACTACACAGGTAGATAAGTACTCCTTTGGGATCACGAACCAAGGGTTGTTGAGGGTTTTTAAACCATGAAAAGTGCGTTAAATTCAATTTCATTGAAAAAATGTACGAAGGAAATTGAAGAAGAAACCTTATACACCACGTCTCGTCTACGTTATAAATTAACCCCTGCAGTAACCCGAGTTACCTTTACTCAGTGTTAAAAATCATGGATACCTGTTTGCTTCAAAAGGCACCTACCAAGAACTACAGCACGGTTATCTTTAAAGAGTACAGGTCCTTTAAAGGACGTGAACGACTCAAAGAAGCTTCTTCGTTTTACAAGAAGAACATCGGTATTGGTATTCATGAATACATACAATGAATAATGTAAATTTTGAAATAATTCTTTTTGGTTATCATTTTAATTTGCTCTAATTTGTATCAGAACGCGTTGGTGTTTACGTGTTTTATGTCTTCCCAAAGCCTTACCGGTGCCATAAATAAACACTTATATGGGAACCTGGTTTTTGTCATTACAGCTTGGTTAAAACCGGTTGAATGCTTAAAATGATATAGTATTTAATATTTAAAAGGTTGTGTAACAATTTGGATTTAAATCTAGATCTAAAAAAATTTTTTTTGGTTCTTATTGAATGAATTTGTTGTTTATATTAATGACTCAAACTTTATCTGTTTATGATTTATGGCCACTGCATTAATATTTTTTTATATATTTAGATAAACAAAGCTTTAAGATTAAATTCGAATCTATTGATTAGTACGGAACCACCATAAAACCTTTATGATAAAGTATTAATCACATAAACATCAAAAACATCAACTGTTTAAAAATTAAAATTCAAAAATTATCGATTTTACAAAAAAAAAAATCTATTAATTAAGATTTTTGGTAAAAAGAACTAAGAAGATTACTTACCGTGTTAAATAAACTTAGTATTAACAAAAAACTTGATCACTAATAGATAAGTTTAAAAAAATAATTCAACTTTATCTGCAATGCTTCATTGCAGAAAACATCCCCATCGGCATCTATCAAATTTGAGCTTTTAAAACAAAATTTCGATTAAACCCGAATCGAAAGTGAACCCAAAAAATGAAAACCCCAATAAGAAAAAACCGATCGAAAATTACAAGAAACGTTTCACATGTTCATCCCGTTCGTTTCGTTCGTACATTCGACGAGACGCGGAGATGCACAAAAACCGAACGAATTACGCTCTCGGCAGACTGGTCTCCTCCCCCTTTCGAAACGGCCGTGTGGAGCAGACGCCGGTGAGGGTGGGGAAGGACGTTCAATGGAAAGAAGGGGAGACGAACGTAAGCAGAAATGAGAATATGCGTACGTAGAGGTGTATAAAGCAAGTATAAAAAGAGGAGGTACACAAAGTGTACAAAAGCGGCGAGGATTTGTACAGATATCGACACGGTTTTAATTCATTCATTTATGAATGAAAGTTAAAATGGGGAAAAAGCGCGGAGGTGTTTCGTAACACGGTCTGATAAAAATGCTAAAGCAACCTCGTTTTATTTTCTTTTTTTAAGTAAATAAGTGCAATTATCTCCGGATGGTGTACTGAATTATATAGATTTTTTATAATTTTTTGCATTTTTAATGTTGATCAATAAATTACATAAAATAAATATTTCAGAATATTCCAACAGAAAGATATGCTGGCTATAACACCTTAATTATTGTTGTTTTTTTATAAAGTTGATACCAAAATAAATACTATGTTCCATACATAATGGACACCTGTATAATAACGGGCTTAAATAATTTTATATTTAACAATACATAAATAAGAAATTCGGATATAACGAACAAATCTTTATTGCTCGTTATAAACGATACCGTTACGATACTAATTATATCATTCATCGAACGCGATCAACTTATACATAATTTGATTCAGCTATTCTTCAAAAGATGGCGCTTGATGAAAAATTATTTATGTATTTTCATATAAAAATTTGCAAAACACCACGTTTTTCATAATAAAACAATAAAAGTATGTATTTAAATATTGTAGAATTGACCTCATGTTAAATGCTATTAACACAAAAACATCATATAAACATATATAGTTCGTTTTTTTTCTATAATACTTGTCAATGTAAATTTTTTAGGGTTTCTGTTGGTATTATCTAGGAGCCTTATAAAATTTATGTTGTTTTACTGATTTTTAGTAACATTTTTAGTAACTAAATTGTTGAGGTCAAAATACTAATCAATTTTTAGATAAATACGATTTTAACGAAGTACAGAATGGTTCGAATTCGATGTCCAAATAGGCTAACTCGGAAACTATAATTATCTTGGTTATTATTATAGGTGGAGTATTATACAAAAATATAGGGTTTGACAGGTCTATTTCTTATTGTTTCAGAATAAAGCTAAAAATAAACTTTTTATTAGTGTCGTCAAAGAAATAAAATTTACAGTTTCCTGTAAATTATAACTAAAAATTAAAAAAACATATTTCTGATATTTGAAACAAATACATTTGTTGAACTATTTAATTTATATTTGTTTTACACAAAAGTTGGAATAGACTGCATTATTTCACATTTTTTATTAATATTTAAATTATAATTATAATTAAGTCATTTAATATTATTAAATGACTTAATAAATTATTGATAGATGGCGCTCATATATATTTTTTTAATTCAAATATACATCAATATAGTACATAGCAACATTTGTTTGTATTCAAACATTTTCTGAAGTATCAAATTAAAAATCATGTTTTTTAAGATGGATTACGATAATTACGAAAAGTTTTACATGTTAGAAAATAAAGTAAATTTTAGATAAATTTTTAGTAGAATAATTTTTAGTTATAGTACCGTAATTTACAGGAAACTGTAAATTTAATTTCTTTGAAGAAAAGAAAAAATTATAGCTAAATAAAAATAACAGGCCATCGCGGTGCTGCCTCGGCCGCAAGCGACCTCGGCTTCAAGATGTAACATCACAACCTTGTTATACACACAGATATTGTATACTAAAGCAGAAAAGATACATTTTTACTGGCTATAAAAGGTTTGTAGCTGAGGTTATATACTGCCTCAGCCGCAAGCAACTTGAAGATTTAATATCACAACCTTGTCACACAAAAATAAACAAAAATTCTTATTTATCATCGTCTTAGTATTAGCATTTGATTCAAAATTTTTACATAAAGCATTATATTCAAATGAAAATACTTGACCCCAAAGCCCCCGAAGTCTCCAAACGTATTCATAATTTCCTTTGTACGCTAAATCGAATTCCCAGTATAGAAAACGTCCGATGTCCACAAAATCATCAACTAAATTATAAATATTAATAATAATAATAACATAAATATTTGAAATTTAACAAAAACTGTTCTACTTTACCGACATTGTATCGATAAAAAAGTAATCTAATCATCGATTTGACATTTTCACCCAATTTTCACATTTTGACAGTGACATTTCGTAAATGACGTGTAATTCGCGTGTAGTTCAACATTAAAACAATGTTAGATTTATTTTCAATATTTAGTAAAGGAGGCATCGTACTATGGTGTTTCCAAAGTACGAGTCAAATATTTACGCCTTCCGTAAATGCACTTATCACTAATGTCATATTGCAGGTAAGTTTTTCGGAAAATTTGTATTTTCTTTTTCCATATGTACCTATTAATGATTTTTGTGTAGGAACGCACTGGAAATAATTCATTTGATCATAATGGTTTAAGCCTAAATTATAAATTAGATAATGAATTCGACCTGGTTTTTGTGGTTGTTTACCAAAAGATACTACAGCTATCCTATGTTGATAAATTCCTCAATGATATCCACCTGGAATTTAGGGATAAATATAAGAATGACCTTTCGGATGGAAAATATTTTCGAGAATTTAACTTTAGAAACAGTTTTAATTCTATTTTACATGCTGCCGAAGAATGGGGTAAAACCCAGCTAAAACTTCCTAAACAGATGAGAACTTTCGATGAATCTGTTAAATCTAAGAAGACTGTTGCTTCTATGATTGAAAAAAAGGGTGGTGATAAACCTAAGGAGGTTAAAAAAAGAGAAGTTGCTTTTATGGAAGGTATTATTGTTAAGTAAAAGATGATTTAATATTAAATGGTTATTTTGTTGTTTTAGAATCTCCAAAAATAACACCTCCATCTCCTAAAGCTGAGGATGGTATGGATGAGGCTACATTAGCTGCTAATAGAGCCAAATTTGCACAAAAAATATCTAAAAAGAAACCAGAAACTAAGTAAATATTTTTTTTATGATTTTTTAACCTCTAAAAATCTTTTTTATTTAAGGAAAAGCCCCAAAGTTGTGAGTGAAAAAGAAAAAGCTGGTAAAAAGCCGAGAGTTTGGGATTTAGGTGGTACAAATAAAGATTTAGAAAATTTAGAAAGAACAATTATTAAACCAGGAAATGAAAATGACACTAATTTCACACCAAACACAGAAGTAATCCTTTTTTTTAACTTAATAATAAAATAATAGTTTATCAATAATAAATTTAATTTTTATTAATAATTTAACTTAATTAACTTAATAATTTTTTTCTAATCTAATTTTTTTTTAAATATATTTAGTTAGTTGGTAAAATGCAAGGTGTTATTAAAGATTTAGAAGTTGAAGAATCAACTGATGATGAAGATTATGAAGAAAACGAACAAGAAGAAATCAAACAAACAAAATCATCCTCCAAAGGAGGAATGTTTTCATTATTCAAGGGCTTAGTTGGAACAAAAAATCTTTCCCACACCGATATGCAACCAGTTTTAGAAAAATTAAAAGATCATTTAATCAGTAAAAACGTCGCCGCGGATATCGCAATAAAACTATGCGAATCCGTTGCGACAAAACTCGAAGGAAAAGTCTTGGGGACCTTTGAAACAGTTGCAAATACAGTAAAATCAACCTTAACTGATTCTTTGGTACAAATTCTTAGCCCAAAACGGCGCGTTGATATTTTAAGAGATTGCATTGAGGCTCAAAAGAATTCAAGACCTTATGTTATGACGTTTTGTGGGGTTAACGGGGTGGGAAAATCAACAAATTTGGCTAAAATATGTTTTTGGTTGATTGAAAATAATATGCGCGTTTTAATCGCGGCTTGTGACACTTTTCGAGCTGGGGCTGTCGAACAATTACGCACGCATATGAAACATTTAAACGCGTTGCATCCGCCAGAAAAGCACGGTGGAAAACAAATGGTGCAATTATATGAAAAGGGTTATGGAAAAGATGCGGCCGGAATCGCTATGGAAGCTATACGATTTGCGAAAGATATGGGAATTGATATTGTTTTAGTTGATACAGCAGGAAGAATGCAGGTTTGTTTTAATTCTTTTTTATGATTAATTTGTATGGTTATTTTTTTTTCTTTAAGGATAACGAGCCTTTAATGAGAGCCTTATCTAAATTAATCAAAGTAAATGAGCCTGATTTGGTGCTTTTCGTTGGTGAAGCTTTAGTAGGAAATGAAGCAGTTGATCAACTTGTTAAATTTAATCAAGCTTTAGCTGATTACTCTTCCAGTTCTAATCCACATCAAATTGATGGAATTGTTTTAACAAAATTTGATACAATTGATGATAAGGTAATCAAAAACCATTATTAAATTAAATTTTTCTTTTAGTTCTAGGTTATGCAGCGCTAGACCAAGTCTTAGTATACTGTGTCAATTAATTATCAGACCCGACGCAATCATTGCAAGTATGCAACTAAATACGCAAATGGCGTATTGCAATACCAATACTGTGATATTGGTTGCATACCTGCAATGATGACGTGGAGTGCGATAATTAATTAACACACTATACTAGAATTATTCGGATTTAGTCGTCTTAAGAGACTTCTGGCTAAACCTAAATGGTTCTAGTCTAGGTCTTACTTCTAGATATAGTGTTTGTTCTAGTTTTACACTTGTACTGTTACTAGAACTAACATCAGACCTAGAATCATTTGGGATTAACCGTCTTAAGAGACGTCTGGCTCAACCCAAATGTTTCTAGTCTAGGTTTAACGTTAGTTCTAGTGACAGTGCAAGTGTAAAACTAGAACTAACACTATACCTAGAACTAGAATCATTCGGGTTTAGCCGTCTTGAGAGACGTGCGTCTCTTTAGACGATCGAAAACACAGGGTTATCATAAAGACGTCACCTTTTTCCAAGCATAACTTTTTCTTTGCAAAACTACACAATGCATGTACTATTAAGCCATGTTGCATTTTATGTGGGACAGTGCATTTATATATTGCTCCTTATATGAAATTCCCGGTATAACAAATTTAGTAACTAACTTAAAAATAAAGCGTGTGATGGCGTCGGATAAATCTTTTCCTATTCCTCCATCCACTTCTTCCACTCCCTCCGGTTCCTGGCTAATTCGTTTATATCTGCTAGAGCCTTTCCTTTTTTCTTCCATACCAGCGTACCAGTTTAGTTGCATTCTCTCCATTTTGCTGATTATCTCCTTTTAAACTACTATTTCATTTCCATTGCTGTGATCTTTTCTTCGTGTATATCTTCGAGTGTCCATGATTCACTGGCATATTTATGTTAATATTGGGACTGCCACCGAGTTGTACACTTTCAATTTTATCTTTTTATCTATCTCCTTCTTCCCAAAAATTGCCTCTCCTAATTCTTCCATTGTTATCTCTTTAGTTGCTATGTCTGTAGTGTCTTCCTTTATCTCATCTTCTCTTCCTTCCTTCATTGTTTGTGTCCGTTTTCCATCCATGAACTTTTTTGCATAAAAGTCCGCCCATATGTCCAGAATTTCCCTTATAGTTGTCTTGTCTTTATCTCGTTGTTTTTATCTTTGACGGCTTTTATTTGTTTCCTTTGATCTCCCTTCAGTTTTCTTATTTGATTCCAGAATTTCCTGTTATTTGATCCGTAGGTATGTTTCACTTAAGCTTGTTTCCAACGTTTCTTTTTCGCCACCCTTGCCATATTCTTAGCTACACCTCTGTTCTTTCGAATTCGTTCTTTATGTATTTCTTCCATGACTCTTTCTTCTTCTTGATTGCCTGTCGGACCTCTTCATTCCACCAGTATCTTTTCTTTGTCTGATTATTATATTTTTTCATTCCACACACCTCCATTGCTTTATTTCGCATTATCTTTTTAAAAATTCTCCACCTTTCTGCTAGTGCTAAATTCTCTGTTTGTTTTTTCTTGGTATTTTAGTCTTTTTTCCTCCTGCCTTAGTTTATGGATGTTTATTTTCGGTAGCTTTTCATCTCTTCTCTTTCGATTTCTATATTATTAATATTTGCCATGACTAGTCTGAGATTCCGGTTGTAATCAATAATACTTTTAGCATTCCTTTCTTTCGCCACATCTTGCCTCATCTGACTTCCATTATAATTACTTCATCTTCTTGTTCTCTGGATTTATCGAAGGTTTTCTGCAAACTTGAGTAAAAATCTCATATTTCTTATTCTTCTGCTTCTTCCATTGGTGCTTAGTTTCCAGAATTCTTGAATTTACTGGTTAGTTCTTCTGTTATAATTATTCCTACAGCCTCCTTGCTCCATGTATTTTCTTGGTCTCCTGAAAAGTATAGCCTATAATTGTTTGATAATTGTATGCTTCCCCTTCTCTTCTTTTTAACTTCACTAATTTCCATTATTTCTATCCCAAACCTCTTCATCTCAATCCATTTCCTTTCCCATTAAAGTTGTAAGATTCCCCATCTTTATAACTTTACTATTTTCTTTTTTCGTTTATCCATATCCCTGCCATTTTGATCCTAAGTAAAGTCTTTTTTTTTTCTCTTTTTTTCTTTTTCCATATCGTCGGGTGATCTTTCCTAAACTGTACGTTTATTCTTGCCAAGTTCTTCATCCTTTACAATTATTTTGTTATAAATTAACTCCTTTCCTCCTGAGTTCCCTTAGTTCAGTCATCAAATCATATCTCTCTTTCTGAATTTTCTTAGAGTAGTCCTCATCTATCAATATGTTCTTCCTTTCAACTCTTTAGCGTTTTTTAGGATATCCATCCTTCTACCTTCCTTTGTTAGTTTTACTAATATCGGCCAATTTGTGATATCAATATCATCTCTTGTTAAATTTACGCTGATATTCCTCATCAAGTTAATCACCTCTTTTTGAAACTTTCAAATCTCTCTTCTTTAATTCCCTTTAATAACCACATTTTTATGTCTTACCTCTCTTTCCAGCATATCTATATGTTTCTCCTAAAGCTTAAGTTCCTCATTTTCCCTTTTGTATCCATTCATCTCCCTTTTGATATTGGTCAGCTGTTTCTTTATATCTCTAAACATATTTTAAATTTTTTCCATATTCCTATTATGGCTCTGTTTATGCCGCCTAAATTCGTTGTTGACGGCACCTCTTATCAGTTATTCGCCCCCAACCTAATTAAACCAATGATTCCATCAGAAATCCACTTTTCCTCACTATCACTAATGATTTAAATGACCACTGTTTGTTATTTCCCCAGAAATTTACGAATTTTACCTTGTTAAAATACCAGGACTATTAAATTAAATTAAAAACAAAAATATTTTTTTTATTTTAGGTTGGTGCAGCTATCTCAATGACTTACATAACTGGACAACCCATCGTTTTTGTTGGAACAGGTCAAACATACACTGATTTAAAAGCCTTAAACGCAAAAGCAGTTGTACACGCACTCATGAAATAAAAAAATCAAATAAATCATTTCCCATTTTTAAATTATTAATGATTAAATTAATGGAAGTAATTGTGAATTTAGTGCAAAAGGTTTTTTTTTAAGGTGAAAGGATTACAACAAAAAGTGATTAAATAAATCCTTATTTGTAAACAATTAAACAATCTTTATTATTATTATTTTTAAACCTTTTTTTCATAAAAAAAAAACAATTTTTTCTTCAAACCCAAAGTCAATAAATAAAAAAAACAAAACTCTAATTCATTTTATGTGGATCGTTTCAACGCTTTTCTTATAATGGCCCAATCTTCCATAATATCTTGAGGTCTCAACATGTAAACTATGTAAGGTCCGGAAACTGTAACAGCTTTTCGACGGGATCTTGACCTAGATCTTGAACTCCACTCGCCGCCCTCGCCCCAACTAATTTCTACATTGTGACGATCTTCCTCTAACCGGCGAATGGTCTCGATTAAATCCTCAAAGTAAAAATCCCAAGATAAACTTTTCTCACTCTCAAAGTTTTGCAAAGCAGCCTGTTCTTCAGCTTCGAATTTATTTCTTATATTTGTTAATCTTAATTGTCGTAAAATCCCGGCTACTTCAGTTCGAACAAACATGTTTTCCTGAAGTTCTTGAAGGGGGCCTAAATATTCCTGAGATCTTCCTCCTAAGAAAACACAAATTAATTATTTTAATTATTAAAAAAAATTGTTTTATTAACCTTTTACTTCTTGAAGTTGATGATCAACTTGGGCAATTCTTTCCTTGTACAGTAACTCCCGAAGTAAGGTAAACTGTCTTTCCAAGTCGGATAAGTTCTCCATACATTCTGTACGTCGTCGCTCGCATTCTCCTTCATCCATTTCTGAGCTATCGTCCGAATCGGCTTCTTCATCGCTGGTTTCTCGGGTGTTGTCCACTTCGCTGGTGTTGGATCGCTCTGATTCACCCCCAGACATCTCCCCGTCGCTTTCATCGCCGGCGGCGTTATTATTCATTAACTTCATTTTGATTCATACAATTTTAACTTAATCGGTAAATTAAAGAATGGGAAATCAAACGTAAGCGTCTGTTGTGTTTTGCTTTTTGAGGTTATTAATTTGACGTATTTGACGTTTCCCCCTCTTGGATCGCGGGTTAATTGGTGCGCATGCGTTGTTGTTTTATGAAACTTTCTTATTAAAAATTTATACTTTATTTATTGATGATATAGGTTTTGTTGTGTTTTTTTTTTATGTTTGTGGGTTTTTTTGATGGGTTTTGGGGAAATTAAAAAGTAAATTTGTGATTAATATTCGTGGGAGGTTTGTGACATGAATGGTTTGTTTAAAACGACGATAGATGTCGCTAATATATTTATTAAAAGTCATTAATTTTATTTGAGAAAATGATGCAAATTTGACATTGTACAAAATTTACATTGTGCAACAAAGCGATGTCACACTTATCTGCGTCGAAAAATGCGATATGTACGGTTTGCGACCCGGTAAAATTCAACTAAAGGGCGAAAAGACGTGTTGGCGATTCGTTGGGCGCCGCGCCTTGCACCAGATCAAAGTTTTTTGTGGTGTGCGGTGTTTTTAGTCCGTTCCGGTTTGTGTTGAATTAGATGAGTTAGGTTTTTCCTAGTAAAAATCGCCTAATAATAAAATTAAATAAAAATACATGTCGGTTTGAATCATTCCTGAATGATCAGAGTTGAAAGTTCCGGTAGAAATGATCCCACAAAAAAACCGTGAGTCTCACGAATTATTTTTGTTTACATTTTAACCGTTCGGGATATCGATTATTGTGCGGGAACCGATCAAAAACGTACGGTTTTTCTTAAATAAATGTCCAATTCGTCGCATGTTCGATGTACAACTCGTAAATCTATCTTAGAATGGATAGCATAAGGTTTTATTTAGAGTAAGTTTTATCTTTCCCATTAAATATATCATCATTGTTCTTTTTTATTTAGAAATTGGTATGTAATTCCTAAGGCAATCTTTCGGTTGTGTTTTATATTAGTAAATAACGCATATTGCATTCCTACATACGTAATATGGATGATTATGTTGTCTCCTATACGGAGATTCAATCCAGATACTTTTTGGAGAATAGAAGGATACTTTTTTCATTGGTTGCTTGCCATGGTTTCGATGTGGAGTTGGTCAGCAGGATACGATGGTAAATAATTTTTAAATTTGTTGTTTTAATTCACAACTGCAATAAATTTGTGGAGAAATTTCTAAATTTAGTACTCAAGTAAATAAGGATGAAATAATTAAATATTTGTACAAGATATAGCGCTTGTTAAGGTTCATACTTTGAGGTAAAAGCTTACATTTTAACCTTTGAGTTCATTCAAACCAAAATTATGTTTAAAAAACATTTTTGATTCATCCTTCATGTAAACTTGAAATTCTTATAAACTTTGCTTCTAATCTAAAAATAATTTAGATGCTCCTCCAATATCTATATTTAAATGGTTTATTTATTACATAAAAAAACCTGTTCAACTAGATTATAAAAAATATAGCTTCATCTATCATAAAATTGTTGTGTTGCATAAGAATTTGTTCAAGGATACCAATAAATAATGAGACACAGCATACATTTTTCTTTTTTTATTCCTGTTACTAATCATAAAAAATCTTTTTTGTAATATTTTCTTTTTATTTTTAGTTGTAGAAGTAGGTGACGATATATCACATTGCATAGATGATAGGACTTTAGTGATAGCAAACCATCAATCGACAGCTGATGTGCCCTTTTTGATGGCGTGTTTTAACACACGTAAGAACGTCCTGCCAAATTTAATGTGGATTATGGACCGGTTGTTTAAATTTACAAATTTTGGAATAGTCAGTGTTATCCATCAGGATTTCTTCATTATGTCGGTAAGAAAAACAACAAATTAAGTTGTTTATTTTTTTTTTGTTTTTATTAATTTCGCTTTCAAGTGAATATAATTATAGCAATTTTAAGATGATTGTGTGTTGTAAAGGTCATGATGCAGATTATATTGAAGGATATTTTTGTTTGGATTTAAATCAGTCTTCTTTGTTTGATTATTTATGTTTTTGTGTGTTCTTTTAATTCTTTTTTAGGTGTTACTGAATTTATCTGAGTAAAAATATATATAATCTACAAAAAAATGTGTGTAGGTTGATAAGACCATTTAATATGTGATGTTTACGTTTTTTTCTAATTAGATGTATCAGTTAATCTCTGACCTAGATGATTCATATTTGTTCCACTTATTTTTGGTTTCATAGTATATTTTTTTTTAATTCAATTTCTTGCTTAGCTTAAATTAAAATTAAATATGTCTATTTCTACATAATGATTAATATTCATTATACAGTGTCCCAAAATATTAAATAGATTACATCAAAATGTTAACCTGTTGCATTTTTGTTGGAACAAAGTTTAAAATGAGTTTCTAAATTTTTATTGAAGCAGTTTACCTTCCAATCTGTACAGTGCGTTACAAAAGTAACGGATAAATTCGAGAAAATTATTATAAACAATTTATGAAAAAATCGCCGAAACGGGTCTAAAGATTTAAATTTTTTGCAATTTTTGAACGTGTTATGACGTCATAAAAATGTTTTTTTAAATGGAACACCCCATTTTTTTATATCGGAATTTGAAAGAGGATTTTTTTCTGAATTATGTACAGGTTACTGGTTCAAATTCGATGTCTGAATAGGCTATCTCGGACACTATAAGAGTTAGAAAAAAAGTAGCTTACATATCATGATCTCGTTTTTCGAGAAACTGCTAATGCCAAAAATCTCAAAGCGCTATCGTCTTTTGTTTTTCCCCTAGAGGCCAAAATTGAAAATATCGTAAAACCAGAAAGTGCTATTATCTTGGTTATTATTATAGGATTATAACTAAGACATTATATGGACACTTTTTTACAAAGAATTTGATGACGTAGTCAAAAAGAATTTTTCGGTTTTGGATTTTGAGATATTATGACAATTTTCGTTTTTTTAAATGGAAACAACCACTGATTATTCAATTAAATTCGCTTATTAAGTTCGTTATTTTTTTCTGATTACAAAAATATGGGGTTAGATAGGTCTATTTCTTATTGTTTTAGAATAAAGCTAAAAATAAGCTTTTTTTTAGTGTCGTCAAAGAAATTAAATTTACAGTTTTCTGTAAATTACGGTACTATAACTAAAAATTTCTCTTTCATTCTAACATGTTAAACTTTTCGTAATCCATCTTAAAAAATAGGATTTTTAATTTGACACTTCAGAAAATTTTTGAATACAAACAAATGTTGCTATGTTTATTTGAATTTAAAAAATAATGAGCGCCATCTATCAATAATTTATGAAGTCATTTCTATTATGTATTATGTATCTATTATTATTCTATTCCAATTTTTGTGTAAAACAAATATAAATTAAATAGTTCAACAAATGTATTTGTTTCAAATATCAGAAATATGTTTTTTTAATTTTTAGTTATAATTTACAGAAAACTGTAAATTCAATTTCTTTGACGACACTAAAAAAAAGTTTATTTTTAGCTTTATTCTAAAACAATAAGAAATAGACCTGTCAAACCATATATTTTTGTAATCAGAAAGAAATAACGAATTTAAAAAGCGAATAATCAGTGGTTGTTTCCATTTAAAAAAACGAAAATTGTCATGATATCTCAAAATCTAAAACCGAAAAATTTTTTTTGACTACGTCATGAAGTTCTCTGTAAAAAAGTGTCCATATAATGTCTTAGTTATAATACTCCATCTATAATAATAACCAAGATAATTGCACTTGTTGGTTTTACGATATTTTCAATTTTGGTCTCTAGGGGAAAAACAAAAGACGATAGCGCTTTGAGGTTTTCGACACCTCGAAAAACGAGATCATAACATGTAAGCTACCTTTTTTCTAACTCTGATAGTTTCCGATTTAGCCTATTCGGACATCGAATTTGAACCACCCTGTACAATAAATATTAACATCGGTTACATAAGAAAATTTTCGAGAAAAATCAATTTAAAGTTTAATTATTTCCCATTCATTTGATATAAAAAATAGTAGTAGCCGTGCGTAACCATGGCAACCAATTGTTTAGATTTAAAAGTTCCAAGTGTCAAAATTCGATTTGAATTGAATTGTTTATTTAAATTAATTATTATTACCATTGTATTTGAGATACAAAAGTAGCAATAGCTTGTTTCAACACAAACCGGCGTTTTGACTTCTGTTGTACAGATCTTTAGTGGCAATAAAAGACGCAATTTTGAGAAAAGTAAAAAAACGCTCATTAAGGTTATTATTGAGCCTATTCATTCTTCATTAATGTAAGCCATATTTAATGGTGACCATACCTTACCATGACATAAAATTCAGTGTATTAAGCCGAGGTCGCTTGCGGCCGAGGCAACCGCTTGTTTTACACTAGTCTTGCGTTGATATGGCATTAATTGTAGTGTCTCGGCTGCAAGCGACCTCAGTTTAAGCCAGTAATATGGTGTATTTCAGTGTATCAAGCCGAGGTCGCTTGCGGCCGAGGCAGTACGTTCTATTACACTAATCTTGTGGTGATATGGTATTAATATTAGCGCCTAGGCCGCAAGCGACCTCGGCATAACTAATGACGTCGTGTGTTTCAGTGTATTAAGCCGAGGTCGCTTGCGGCCGAGGCAGCCGGTTATTTTACACTAGTTTTGCGGTGATATGGCATTAATTATAGCGCTTCGGCCGCAAGCAACGTCAGTTTAAGCCAGTAATATGGTGTATTTCAGTGTATCAAGCCGAGGTCGCTTGCGACCGAGGCAGTACGTTGTTTTACACTACTCTTGTGGTGATATGGTATTAATATTAGCGCCTCGGCCGCAAGCGACCTCGGCATAAAGCACCGACGTCGTGGGTGTCAGTGCATTAAGCCGAGGTCGCTTGCGACCGAGGCAGTACGTTGTTTTACACTAGTCTTGTGGTGATATGGTATTAATTGTAGTGCCTCGGCCGCAAGCGACCTCGGCATTAACCGGTGACGTCGTGTGTTTCAGTCTATTAAGCCGAGGCAGCCGCTTGTTTTACACTAGTCTTACGTTGATATGGCATTAATTGTAGTGCCTCAGCCGCAAGCGACCTCGGCATCAACCAGTGACGTCGTGTGTTTCAGTGTATTAAGCCGAGGTCGCTTGCGGCCGAGGCAGCCGCTTGTTTTACACTAGTCTTGTGTTGATATGGCATTAATTGTAGTGCCACGGCCGCAAGCGACCTCGGCATAAACCAGTGACGTCGTGTGTTTTAGTGTATTAAACCAAGGCCGTTTGCGGCCGAGGCAATACGTTGTTTTACACCAGTTCTGTGTTTATATGGTATTAATTGTAGCGCTTTGGCCGCAAGCAACCTCGGCTTAAGACAATGGCATCGTGTATTTCATTGTATTCAACCGAGGGGGTACATTGTTTGACACCAGTATTGTATTGATATGATATTAATTGTAGCTCCTCGACTTGGTTCCTTGATTTTATTGTTTTTAGGCATTGCGTTTTTAGATTTGGGTTGGGTTGGGTTGAATATTAATTGTAGTGTTATAAAGGCGCAAAATATTTCTTGTACTTAAGGCAGATATACGAAAGATCTTAGAATACGTTTTTATATGATTATTGTGGTCCTACTCGATACTATGCTTTTAGATGTTTAACTGTCTAAATTTTAAAGACTTAAACGTTGTTCCAATAAAGAAATGCAAACGCTTAAAACAATTGTAATCGCAGTAATAATTTGTCTATTATCAACTAGAAAGTGGTAAAAATGGCACTACCTATTCTTAATTAGTTCTTCTTATCTGTTGATTGATGAAGGAGTTGATTGACACCTGCTACATTCTAAATCACATTCATACCTGCATACTTGCTGTGTCTATCATTCATTTTAATTTAATGTGGTACTTTATATAAGTGGTACTTAATCTAACCGCATACCTAGTGGTACTTTAACTGGCACTTTAAGTTGAGACATCATAATTAAATATTGTGTAAATCTTTGTAATCATGATAAACATCAAATATATAATTTTAATCAGATTGCGTAATCGAACGTTGTACTTAAAAACTTAACACGCTTTTTTAGAATGTAATATCGATTAATTTTCTTTTACCTCTATGTCCTTTAATACAACTTTGTTGCTATTTTAATTTTTTTTGAAACAACCTATTTAGTACTTAATGTTTAAACAAAAAATGATGACTGTTTATCATCGTTTAAACATTTCTTTTCTGGGTAATAGTTTAAAATTAGATTGGGTTGGACTTAAACTTAATCGTTCTATAAAAAAATGAATTGATTCGTTGGTAATATGATTAATCTTTATAATCCCTGATAAAACGCATTACTTATATACTTTGATATTATGTAAGTAGATAAAACATTTTTTGCTTTATAAATAATACTTTAATAAAATAATTTATGTTCAGGATGTATCTAAAAAACAATCCAAAACATGAATTGTCTATCATTATAGGGTAAAGAAAATCGTGAAAAATCAATACAATCATTAGTACAACATTTACTCGAATCCTACATCCCAAGAAAACGAAAGTGGATGGTTTTATTTCCAGAGGGTGGGTTCCTTAGGAAACGAAGGGCAGTTTCACAACGTTACGCAGAAAAGAATAACCTCCCAGTGCTCAATCACGTCTCGCTTCCAAGGGTTGGTGCTTTAAAGGCGATCATGAATACCGTCGGGCCTTTACCCAACAATAACAGCTCATTAGATATTCCAAATGGTACTTAATAAATCTTTTTTTAATATAATTTTGTAGTAAAAAATTGTATTTATTTTTAAAGGGTTACCAAAACCGAATGAACGACTTACTTGGGTATTAGACATCACAGTAGCGTATCCAAATGGGGAACCTCTTGATTTAGGGCAGATAATTTTTGGTTATAGGCCGCCATGTAAAACGACGATTTTTTACAGAGTATACGAGTGTAAAGACGTGCCTCAGGATGAAGAAGCGCAAACGCGATGGTTATACAACTTATTTGAAGAAAAAGAACGGTTATTGGACATGTTTTATAAGACGGGAAAATTTCCAATTAGCGAATATTGTAAAAATCCGGCACAACCTCACGTTGTGGCTCAAGATTGTCTTCGATATCTCATTTTACACTTATTTTTTATCACGTCCACATATGTACACATTCAAATGTTCATGGCGGTTTATGAATATTGTAACTATTTGATGTATTAACGTACGACACTCGCTTACTTGGTTTATTTGATTAAAATATACATGTAGACCAAGTCAGCGAGAATTTAGGGGGATTTAATTATTATTTTAAAAAAGAAATTCTAAGAAAAAATACAGAAAGAAATAAGTGAACTAATAATTATTGAAGTTTCCTCACTTGTAGGGTAGAATTTGTACCATTTAAACAGTTGTATTTTTGGCGATTTTTTCAACTCCTACTAATCAAGGAATTTAACGATTACAAAAAAAACTAATTACTAAATAAATAAGAAAAAAGAGAAACATTAATTAATTGGAAAAAAAACTTTACTCTTGTATATAAATGATAACGATGTATAAAGATTAATAAAAACAATGTTTGAAATCGAAAAAAAAGAAAGAATTAAAAAAAACGTCCATGGTTGTGTTTTTAAAGTAGCTAAAGAAAAATTTAATGGAGATTTAGTAATTTATTTAGTCAATTTACATCTTTGCCCAAAAAACACCTTAATTTATTACAATAATTATGCTACTGTGATTTAGAATTTATAAAACGGTGAAAATATCCCAAATGAACCAAGATTTTATTTTTATTTTAATTTTTGTTTATCTCAATCTTTTTCTTTTCTTATTTACATTTCTTAGTCTTCTCAAATAATACATGTATATCTATGATGTGTGTAATAAACAAAAAATATTTAAAATAAAGAACAAAAAGATTAAATTGTTAAAAAAAAATGTGAAGAAAAAAGATAATAAATTACGTGTTTTATATCTCGACGTAGAAACTAATCCAACACAAATCTTTTACTGTGTCACCTCACTTTATTAAAAGAAATTAATGACTTTTTACACCGATTTTTTTCTTTGTTTTTTGGACGGTAAGTGATTACAGTAATTTTTATGGCTGCCAGCACATCACACGATAATTTGTCGCCCATATTTTCTAATTATTAATTATTAAATCTTAAGAAAGGTTTATTAATTCCGAATTGTTGTACAAAATGATGTAAAATTCCAAATTGCAAAAATAAAAATCATTGTTTTGAAATACTAAATATTTTCTTAAAATCCATGAAGAATATTAAGTTCCTTATTAATTTCCTATGTTTAATTAACCCAATGTTTTTTTTTTGTTATTTTTATAATTTCCAGGTATTCCAAGAAAAACTTATTAAAAAGAGCTTATAAATTACATAAATGATCTAATCCCTGTTGAAGGAGAATACTACTAATTTATTAACCTTTATTTTAGATATTTAGACTCGGAGATTGGTTTTGACAATAATTGGATATACTTAGCTTGTTTTGCTCCGTCGTTGAATCTTAATAAGTTTCGTAGATTATTAGTAGACAAAATTTTAGAAGAATAATCATGGAATTAACAACGGATCAGATCAGAGAAGCAATTTTTACTTAAGCATGCCATAACAGAAGATACAAACTTCGGAATAACAGCAAATTTGAATTTGCCGTAATTTTGGAAATTTGAAAATTTTTGGATTCATCGCTCTCCACGCCGATTTGACTTTTGGGTTTTAAAATCTCAATGAATATCATTCTGGGTAGTAAAACCACTGAGGATTTTCTGGCGATCAGTGTTTTTGAAGAAGTTTAATAAAAAGGGAAGTTTGCAATGTATTTAGCAGGAAGCTGGATACAAAGGAACCTTTGCACAAGAATAAGCTGAAATAGATACAATTGTTGTTTGTACCAATATCGCTCTTACTGAGGATGTTATATAAATTGTATCTTTTTATAGGTAAATGAAGAGAAATCGAAGAAGCATCCTAACCAATTGTGTTAATATGATCGTTTAACGTCGATAGTATTTAAGAGGTGTTAGAAACTATCGGTTTGAAGAACAAACACTACTTTGATAAAACAAGGCTTAACGAAGATCTTAGAAGAAAAAACTGGATGTTATAGAACCACGATTGTTGAGGTAAGTCTCAAATTTTTTACAACAAAACTTTTAACATTCTCTTTTATTTCAGGTTATATTTATGGAAATCGCTAATTCGATCAAACGGGAGAGAAATGTTCCACTCTGTATCTCCATAAAGGTAAATATTTCATAAATAGTTACATTATAATTAGTGGTGGAATGGATATCCGGTAACCTGTTTTGAAAAATAACTTTTAGTTTTTGAGAAAACAATATTTTTCGATTTTTCGATAATCTTCAACATTCGCTATACAATTAATTTATTGAAGAATCCTTGTGGAAATATCACCAATTATTAATTAAAGTATCCTCTTTTTAATTCAAAAAGCCGTTTAGAAAAATCACTTTTAGTTCGTGAGAAATAAATTTTTGAAATAATCGACAATTTTTTCGAATTTTGCAATTTTCGCCGATTAAGTTTTCAAAATTCGCTATAAAATTAATTTCTTGAAGGATCCTTGTGGAAATATCAGCAATTAGTAATTAAAGTATCGTATTTTTTATGCAACGAGCTGTTTTGAAAAATCGCTTTTAGTTTTTGAGAAATACATTTTTGAAATGATTGACAATTTTTTCGAATTTTGCAGTTTTCGTCGATTAAGTTTTAAAAATTCGCTATAAAATTAATTTCTTGACGGATCATTGTGAAAATATCACCAATTATTAATTAAAGTATCCTCTTTTTAATGCAACAAGCCGTTTTGAAAAATCGCTTTTAGTGCTTGAGAATTAAATTTTTGAAATGATCGACATTTTTCAAGAAGAAGAAAACAAATTTTATTCTGGACCCTTAGTATATAAAATAAAATAAATAAGAGTAATAGTATCAATACATTTATATACAGGATGTATCTGAATGACGTGCCCAAACTTCAGGGGGTGATTCTTTAGGCAATTTTAAGGGTACTTTCTTGTATAAACTATCAGCGATTTCGACTCCCCTGCGGAACTACGCCCCTTCAAAAATGGCGAAAAATTTTGGTTTATTTTTTTTTTTTTCCGAAAACCATTAATACCAAGAAAATGAAATTTGGGAAATATGTTTAGCTTATAATAGGGCATGTTTCGAGCCTATTTGTACTTTCAATCTTCCCTTCTAAGTTACTAAATATAACCACCCCCGTTCAATTTTTGTCTAGATCTTCTTTATGACGGTGATAAATACATTGGAAATATTTTATTTAGATAGACGAAAATATTCTAAAATTTTTTTGCCTCTCTGATGTTCTTCGAAAAGTTAATAGTTTCTGAGAAAAAAATTAATTAAGCAAACACTAATTGTTAAGCTGTAGCGTTGTTAATCGAAAGTTGGAATGAATTTGTAAAGAAAAAATCTTAGCAGGCTTGGCAATCTTTGTCAGAAATATGTTTGACGCTTAAATGTCAGTGGTTTTCTTACTATTATTATTGTTTTATTTAAAATTTTGAAACGTCGAGTGAACGAGCGTAAATGCGATAGAACTTTATTCAAAAATTAGTTTGAAAAACAATAATAATAGTAAGAAAAACACTGACATTTAAACGTCAAAAATATTTCTGACAAAGATTGCAAAGCCTACTAAGATTAAACTAAGATTAGAACTAAAACTAGAACTAACACTAGAAACTTTAAGATTTTTACTACTAAGATTTAGATACCTACTAAGATTTTTTCATTAAAAATTCATTCCATCTTTTGATAGACAACCCCGTTCTTTAACGAGCAGTATTTGCTTTACTATTTTTTTTCTCAAAAATTAGTCGTTTTTGGAAAAATTTTAGAGAGACAAAAAAGTTTTAGGATACTTTCATCTACCTATGTAAATTTTTTTTTAATGTATTTACCATCTGTATAAAAATATTTTAGCAAAAATGTAAAGGGGGTGGTTACGTTTAGTAGTTTAGAAGGATAGGTTGAAAGTACAAATAGGGTGAAAACGTGCCCTACTATGAGTTAAACATATTCCCCAAATTTCGTTCTATGATGGGCCTGCATATGGTCTTGTAGATGTGCGAGGCACATGAGGTAGAGATTCCGCGACCTCTGAACGAGAGGGATTTAAAGTGTTTGGCGCGTGTCTTTACTTTCATCTTCACCTTGGTTGCATGAGTAGAAAAGTTAAGCGTTCTGTCAAGTGTTATGCCAAGATACTTGCAGGTTGGTGAGACGCAAGGTTTATATATAAGAGGTTGTCTAGATTCGTACGCAACCATACTGCGCATTACGTCACATGTGGAAAATAATACCGCCAAGCAATTCAAATTAAAAAAATGTACGGAGCACCACATAGCCATAAGGTTGCGTGCGCAATCCGTGATCGCTTACGTCACGAAACACTCCTGCTCTTATCCCTCGCCCACAAACTAAATCAAAGTATTGCAGCATCGGTACTTAGACAACCTTTAATATATAAACCTTGGGTGAGACGGAGATTGCCGTTGATTGGATTGTAATTGTGGGAGCGGGAGCGCTGGGTGACAGAAATGGGACAAAAATTCTGTTTTTGTGGAATTGAGTAGGATGTGCCATTTTCGAAACCAATTTTCTGTTTCATTTATGAGCGTCTACAGCTTACGGACCGAAGAAGCGGCGTCCCTACTGTGCGAGACCAATGTTGTGTCGTCGGCATAAAGTAGCGTATGTACTGAGGTTAAAGGCATCTGGGTTGTCGTTGTAAAGATCGTGGCAGAATAAATTGTATAGAGAGGGAGAGATGGGCGAACCCTGAGGAAGGCCTTGCTGAGCAGAGAAGCTGTGGAAGAAGTAATTTTTCAACTTCACAATGGAGGAGCGGTTCGACAGGAATTGATTTATCAGGTTTAGAAGGTAGTATGGCGTATTTATCCAGTTTAAATAGCAATCCTTTGTGCCACACTGAGTCGAAAGCCTTTCGGCCGTCCAGAAACACGGCTGCGGATTTCAGTTTTTCAAAACGTGCCGCCTGGAAGTTGGAAACCAGAATAGTTAGTGGCTGGGACGTTGATTTGCCGGATTGGAAGCCAAATTGGTAAGGCGGAATTTTCTTTGATACCGCAACCAGGAGCTTGTTCTTCAAGTGCGTCTCGAAGAGTTTTCCAATTACGGGGAGCAGTGAGATGGGGCGGTAGTTTACTGGATCAGAAAGAGAGGAATCCTTCTTAGGAATACAAGTAATAATTGACATCTTCCAGTCGCACGGAAAATGCTGAGTCGTAAGGCAAAAGTTAATTATTTTAATGATAAAGCCGTGGATATTAAGATGTAGACTTCTTAGCAGTTTCCTTGTAATGTTATCATAGCCGGAAGCGGTATCCTTTTCCTGTCCAAGAAGAGTAAAATATTCGTCTTCTAATATGAGAGCATCCTCGGGTGTCTCGAACGGTTTCAAAAATGCGGATTCGTACCAGTGGGGACAAAACGAAGTATCTTCGGTAAAGGTAAATACACCTTCCAGGTAGTCAGCGTGTATTCTTCAGGATTAGAGTGCACACCGCCATCAGTAGGATCAATGCGCTCTTCCGTAGCAGGTGTCTTTTGGTATCTGGATAGTTTTCGAATTTCGTGCCAATAATTTCTTCTCTTACACAGTTTTATTTTGTCACAGGCTTCCATGTACTTTTCCGTTCTATATTGCTGAATTAGCTTATGTATTTTTTTGTTGGACTCGTTAAACTTTTTTTTCAACTCAGGAACCTCATATACCCTGAAGTCTCGATATAGTCGTCTTTTCTCCTTGATGAGTCTGATAATAAATGGAGGTAGCGGAAAACTGTAGTGTTTGGTGGTTCTGGATGGGCTCGCTTTGTCTATTGTCTCCTTAAGATGTTTGTTAAATCGTGTCAACTGTTATTGCCGGATGTGCTTGTATGAAGTCTTTCATTGTTGAGTTAACTGTCTCCATGTTGCAAAATTTGTAGTTTTTAATTACAGTCGAAACAGGTTTAGGCAGCTTGGGTGTTGTTTTGACATAAACTAAAATGCCCAAGTGGTCGGAGCATAAATCCGGAACGACTTCTACCTGTGTAATTAGACCGCGGATGTTTCTTGTGCAGAACAGTAGACCAGGAGTAGAGTTAAAGTATCCTCTTTGTAGAGTTGCTTCGTTAGTTAAATCAGCAATATTTTAAATTATAACCATAATGGCCGGATAGATATGCCGGATATCCGACTATTCGCAAAATCATTATCCGTTCCATCACTAATTATAATAACACTAAATTTTGTTGATACTTTTTAGAAAGTTATATTTTCTGCTAAAACTACAGCTTTCAACATCATTTCCTGGGAAAACATAATCGCCACTAGACAATCACTATTACTTCGTTGGCGATCAGGTTGATACAACTCTCGACTTCTTACGAAAAAATACTCCTTCGGTTGCCGACCAGTTTCTCGAGATCGCACGTTAATAAGGTTAGTAGTGCTCCATAGAAACGACGCAAACATCAATTCGACGACCTTGCACTTACATTTCTCCATAACCATTAATTGATTTTAAATTTATTTCCGTTAAAATATTTAAGGAATTAATATAATTTAAATTTTAAATCTCATCCCACATTTTTAATTACGAAAAGTTTTCCCAAATTTTTTTTATTAAAATTTATTAATTCAAGCAACGTGTAACACTTTAAGAAATGAACTGCATGAATATTTGAATTGTTACGGTCGTAAAAAGATTTCGCTTCGCATAACAAATAGTCAAACTAAATCCGTTACTTAGAATTGAAACGTTGATTTTCTTGCGCTCTTTACATTAATTGCTAAGAAGGTGTAAAGGAAAAGTTGCGGTTCATTGTGGTGCTAATTTGCTTTACATGTTGTCAATTTGCATAAAGAGATTATTGTAAAATGTAGAATAAGACTTGTTTTGTTAACAATGTAGAAAGCGAATTGTTATTCAATGTTAAATAGGTTTATAAAAGATATTTAGTATAAATTGAATTAAAAAAATTTAAATGATGAAATTTTATAAATATTAATGATTTTTTGAAATTCGTGAAAGTTTAATTTATAAAAATTACGAAAGATTTCATTAAGATTTTTATCTTTAAAGAATTTAGGTTAAAATTGTTTCTAATAGCCATAAATGTTATTAATTATTAATTAAATCAATTACATTCATGATTATTCTATTCAAAACCGTGGCTAAATAGATCTAGAATCGAAAGTGTTTAGGAGATTATCATCAATACACAAGACTTGAAGGAAAGTGATGATTATCGTTTGTGTTACTAAGTGGGGATGTTCCCAAAAATACACATAACTCTTGTAATAGTGAATATTGAGCTGGTGTTATATGTTGTTCCCTTCTTCTTTTTTTACGACGCACTTCACCATTTCTCCCACTTACGTTACGCGAACGTAACCATCTTCAGCGTGCATCTAGAGGACCGTTCAATCTGAAGAAAGCAACACTTAGCTTGACACACTAAGACCTTTCTCTATCTCCTCTTAAACCATTAAGTATTTATATTAAAGTTTATCGATATTGTTGTAATCAGTGATTGTGATTGGAAAAATCAATTAATTTTTAAAAAGCAAGAAAAAAGTGAAGTTATTTGTGGTTAATTATTTAAATTTTGCGAATTGATTCATCAAGTTGAAGACTTTATTAAAATTTTGATAAAATTGGGAGAAAAAATTTGAAGATATTAAATAAAGATGGGACGGAGAAATTGGTGTGATTAAGAAGACATTAAAGAAAAAAATGTTGGAAAATATGGAATTATAAAAGACGTGGTTCCGGTGAGTAACTAAAACGGTAAAATTGCGAATCTGGGCTCATTGGTGGTAATGATGTTCCGAGGCGAGGCGTTTATGATAAAACGTGAAAGTGACCTACTACAAGTGGTACTCAGTTTATTTTATTTTTATATTATCGTTTTTGATATTCCACATTCACATTGAAAGAAAAAGAACGTTATAAAACCACAAACTTTAAAATTTAAATCAAAATTGAAAAACAAATTCTAAATGGTTCATTTTTAATCCAAATTATGCTCACACTGGAACCACATTATTAAACCACTCCAGATTTCACGCTTAGTTGCGGTTGTAAAGACAAAATTACACACAACGTCTTCAAGAACCAACCCATTCTTAACAATTTACCTTTTACTTTGTAATCTTTCGACCAAAAAAAAAATCTTCAACGATTTTCTGAACCATAATATAAAGAAACAGTTAACTCAAAAACATCTGTTTCTTTATAAACAGCACGTGTTGCAAATTCAGTTATATTGACCTGGATCTTCATAAAAAATAAGTTTTTTTTTATGAAATTTGCAAAAATTACAATATAATAACACATTGTAGATTATTCCCCATTATAAAAAGTGAATTTCGTTGTTAATTGTTGTGTTAATTAGGTGTTAATGATTATTATTGAGTGTGGTTAGTATTTAACGCTTTTTAAGTTTTACATTCAACATGCAAGACAAATAAATAACACGATTCATTAAAAAAAATAATAACTAGATTGGAACTAACAAAGATTGGAATTTCGAAATCATCTAAATTTAATTAAATGTTTTTAGGTCCCATCAAAAAATTGTTTATAACAATTTTTGCATAAATTTCTAATCATAAATCACAAAGCATTAACTTCATAATCTATTCATAACTGCTATTAAAATATCTGTTTTATGATCATAATCAGGCTCTATGTTAATTTTAGCCGCTTTTATAATTTTAGTTTCGCTTATAAACAATTTTTTTTAATTTATTGGCGACTTTCAACGAATTTACAACAAAACCATGTCCGGTAAAGGTGAAAAGGGAAAGAGAAATTGTAACTCGTTGCCCGAATATTTGTTTTCGGCGTGCGTCATTGTGACATTGACCCAAATTATTAACATAGTTCCTTTTTAATTGAAACGATTACAATTTAAAACTTCCTAGATTATATTAAATACCGTTATTATTTATACGTTGAATATTATGCAACCAACATTACATTTCTTAGAAACTTAAATCCTAACATATTTGTTAGGTTCAACAGTTTTTGAAATCCGCAAGAGAGTCAGGCCTAGAAGCAGATATAAAGACCAGCTGGAAGAAAGTCTAAAAATGGAAGTTAGAAATTGGAAGCTCCATAGCTATATTTGTTACTTTTCCGAATTAAATCTCAAAATATTCATTAAGATGAAAACTTAACAAAAATATGCAGAAAAATATACAGGGTAAGCCACTCAGGTACACAAGTGGATTTCTCCTCACCTCGAAGGTCGCATTGGAGCATCCTGGAGAAAAATCAAAGAGAGGAGGTTGATATATGGACAGGGAGATAGAGAACGTTATTGTAGGAGAGTGGGATTCAATAACTGGGATCGGCAATAAAAGAGTGGAAAAAGATGAAATGTGGAGAGAACTGAGGGATAAGGACAGGGACATACAGAGGCAGGAGAGAAGGTCACAGATACGAGAAGGAAGATATAATGTAAGGTATGGGAAGATAGTGACAGAGGCGAAAGTATCAGTTGATGGAAGATAAGAGATTGGTGGCCAGATTTCGCTGTGGCAATGAAGAGAGAGGGAACAGGTATTGGGCAAACGATGTGAAGAGATGCTGTAGGCTGTGTGGAAAGTCTAAAAATGGAAGTTAGAAAGTGGAAGGCCAAGGGATGAAATAGAAGAGAGTGGAAGCTGATCCTAAAACAGGCCAAAACCAACCAGGGGTTGTGGTGCCCATGATGAAGAAAAGCTCTATCTGTAACGATCACTCCATAGCTAAATTTGTTACTTTTCCGAATTAAATCTTAAAATATTCATTAAGATGGAAAACTCAACAAAAATATGCAGATAATATATAGAGTAAGCCACGCAGGTACACAAGTGGGTTTCTCCTCACCTCCATCACCAAATCGTTTCAAGGATTAGGTTTAAAGTTGAACTCAGTATTTGTTGGATTTTAGTAAAGGTTTTAATATTGTTGATCGTTTGTGTTGTTGTTACGATATTTACAACTTCAAAGCCGAAATCGGCTGAGGTGTATAATCCTACGGCCGAAAGATTACGTCATTAAATGTCATTGCGAAGTAATGCCAAAAAAAGGGATATGCACTTCGGCCTTGAAAGGCATTGTGAATGTGCACTGTTAACGTTAACTCGTAGTTCGAAAGCTTAAACTTTATAATCTTAAGGTTGGTGTTAAAACTGAGTAGTCGAAATTTTACAACATCAAAACTGAAGTTGCTTGCGCCCGAAATATATAATCCTACAGCTGAAAGATTCTGAGTCATTTTTTTTTCTTTCTACAGGGTGTATCCGAATGATTGCAACAAACTTCAAGGGGTGATTCTTGATTGAATTTTAAGGGTACTTTGATGTATGACATTGATATTGAACCTATAGTAGTTTAGAAGGGTAGGTTGAAAATACAAATAGGGTCAAAACGTGCCTTATTATGAGTTAAACATATCCTCCAAATTTTATTTTCCTAGCATTGATGGTTTTTGAGAAAAGAAAATTAAACCAAAAGTTTTCGCCATTTTTGGAGGGGTGTAGCTCCTTAGGGGAGCCGAAGTTGCCCATAGTTCATATCAAAGTACCCTTAAAATTCACTAAAGAATCACCCCTTGAAGTTTGTTGCAGTCATTCGGATACCCTGTATATTATGCATAGCACAATTGTGTAACACCTAGTAAATCCATACTAATTAGTTACTTATTTTTAAGTCCAAATTAAACTACATAAAGTTTTGCAGCTTTTCCCATTGGTCCAGTCTGCTTTACCCATAATATAGATAAATATTGTCATAATTTTACCGTTTTAAGATCAAAACACAAAAATAATATATAAATTTGTTGTCAAGATGTAGTAGAATTTCTTGATAATCTTCTCTTTTAAGATTATGTCTCAGTGGTATGTACGTTGCTCCTACAGATATTAATCCATTAGCGGTTTGAACTTTTACCACTGTAGTTTGGTGTTATTCAGTACCAATTGTATTGTTCAAATAGTGGTCAATATTGCTTTTTATAATGATTGCACTTCCACCTCGAGCCGCATTTCCCGGGTGAATTGTGTGATAAATATTATAATGGTTTCGGAGATAAGACATATTGTATCAATATTGTTTTTTTAAAGTATTATAGGTAGTGTGTTTTGATGCTGTCGAAGACCATTGGATGACGTCACCAAAAAACTGTCATAGGGAATATAATGTTAGATGTCTGATATGTGGCTCCATCATACTATAATCAAAAATCACGTTCATCGTTTTTAGGAAACGAAATAAACTGCGTAATAATGTGTTGGTTCAATATTATGAGCAGCAGATATAGAGATACAGTTTATGGAATCTATTATGGCCAACGGTATGCTACTAATTCTTCCTAATAGATGTGAAACGTGGTCTGACTTAACACACCATATCCGCTGCTTCACCCAGTGGGAAAAAGAAAGGTTATGTTTGAGGGCTTGTTAAGGAGCGCAATGAAGTATGGGGATGGAGAACAAGGAATGCTGGAGGATGTGTAAACAAGGTACTAGAGATAGGTACAAGGGTTGGCAAGGGAGGCTCCAGGGTATATAGTGAGGGAAGCGGTTAAGGTGCATTTAATAAGGGTGAAGGCTGGGAGAAGAGCAGTGAAATACGAGAAAAGGAGAAAATGTTGTAAACATAGTAAACAATAAAGCGCTTAGCAACCTCTACTATGGTAATGTATACTTCGCTTAAAGATAACATCAAGCGTGGTGGTAACATTTGATTATCCAGAAAACTTGGCGATTAAATAATCACGATGTTGGTAGTCACTAGTTGCGAGAAAGTTGATCCTGAAGAAAACAAATGTTATTGGCAAAATAAAGAATGATAAGGAGTCGTTACGAATGTTATTTTGAGAGTGGGGTTTTTGCAGCTGTGCACAAGAAAAAGTTTACTCCTTGGTGGAATAAAGATATAAAAAGGTGCGCTTTAAGCCTCATCTAAGAAGGAAACGTGAGTCTTAGGAGTGTAACGTTCCATACTTGTCAAAGAAAACCATAACCAGCAAAGTATAGAACTTACAAAGAGATCGCCATAGTTATTGTGTTAAGGAAGATTTTCGTTATAGAGACAAATGAGTTGACTGTGATATTTATTGTGTTTCAGATCGGATAAGTTTCTGTATTTATCTATAGTTTTGCCTTTTTGTAAGTTGCAAAGCTTTTCTAAAGAGTTTGGTTAGAGTTATTGCATCAGCAAAATGGTTCTAACTTTTATTCATACCTACTTCAGTTAGGAAAAAAAAAAAGTTCCTTATTTGTTTGGCATGTTTGGCACGTCCTGGTTTATCTATTGTAATTTGAGCATCTGATACATCAGTTGTATAAAATGCAGTTTAAACATACGCTTGATTATACAAATTTCTTCGTAGAGGTGTACTTATAATTTTCACTTCGAGTGAAGTTAGTTGTTGGTTAACTACTATTGTCAATTGCCAATTATAAGTCTGTAACCAAGAACGGTAGAATCTAAATCTAATCCTTTTTTTTTGTAATTTAGAAAATGTCATCAGTATCGGACCTCTCAGTCGATAAGATTTTCGCTACATTCTTAATGATGTTTGTATAACCGGTTGTAAAAATTTACAGTTAACTGTAATTTTGAAAACTTATTTTGGTTTTAAGTTTAAAAACTTGATTGCAAAACCTGATTTTTATTGAGCGAAATTAGTTTTTATATACAAGTTTTATTATAATTAAAGTTAAAAAAGTACAACATAAAAGCCCATCTGAAATAAAATTATTAAGTAAGAATATGTTCGTTCAAATCGCCTCTAACAACCTGTCCTGTTTCTTTTGTTAAAGGTGGATGCTTCGGTACCGCTATGCAGAGCTCTTCGACGACGACCAGGGGCTTCCAACAACAGTAGTTCTTGAGTGGTTTAAGTGCTAACTGCTTCTCGCGTTTCAGTAGTGACGACCGAAAGTGTTAAAAACGAAGAAAACCCGTTCTCATTTACACAAAAATAACAAAGTAAGTAAACAGTAAAAGAAGCCTTTTCTTAAACAAATTAAACAAAAAAAAAGTTTTAATTTGAGTCTAATTTAATTTAAGAAATTTAAGTTTGAAAGAAAATTATACTTAAAAAAAATTTAAGTTAATTAATCCGTTTCAAAATTAAAAATAATTTTGATTTTGATTCAAAATTTTATTTGAACTTGTCCTACATTTGAACGATTAAAATATGACTATGGTCAGGGAAAGTCATCGACCTCATCGGCTTCGAGAAGAAACGTTCTTCTCACGTGGTATACCCAGAAAAAAAATTTCGTTTTACTTTTTATCTAAATTAAATACAAATTATACAATCTTATTTTCCTTTTACTCATTCAACTCAATTTTATTTTAAATCGTTTCGTAATATCTATTATTCATTAATAAAAGAATTTTTTGTTACATTTTTTTGGTACCTTAAAAAAAAACATAATCGTCTTATTTTAACTGTTCAACATACGGTAAATTTTTTATTAATAACCACATAATCACGTTTAAATCAATTTGAACTAAACTTTCTTTTTGTTAACTTACATTAAATTCAGGAAATCAAATTTAAATCAAAACTGTTAAAAATAAAGGAATTTTCAACCGTTATATCCATCCTTAACTCTCAATTTGAATTTAAGGAGTGTTGAATTATTGCTCAATAACCACTAAAACCATTACGATTTAATGAGGTAATAATAAATCTTTTAATAACATAACGTTTCTTTGAGGTAATTTTTAATTAGATTTTTGATTTATTCCTTTTTAATAATTACACAAATTGCTTGTAATTTTTGAAACGTCGTCGATTAAATAAGTTGTGCGACAAAGTAACGGATTTAATAGAAACGTTTCCGTTAAACGAATTGATTCCCGCATAACAAACAATTTCTACTGCAACGATGTCGTTTCAAATACAAATAAAGATCTATTTTGCAAATACTAGGTCAACTATTTTATTCTTTCGTTAATTTATCATTTATAAATTACTTAAAAGCGTAATTAAAGATGGATTTTTAACACATGCGCTAAATAACGGCACACTAAAACTGAATCTGATGCTTACTGAAAAGAATTTGTCTTGGTCAACTTATGAAAATAAGCAAACCAGAAATCTGAAAGTGGTCACTAAAAAAATGCATAAAAGCTGTATTGGAGCGCAATTATAACATTTGTAAAGTAACCCAAATGTTAAAATACAAAATAAAAGAGCCTCTCCATTTATACATCTTGGATTTTGCACCGTTAGAGGATGTAAAAAGAATCCATGAAATAACAAACATATTAAGAATGCGTGTTAAAATCGAAGAGTACAGAAAGCCAAAACTAATGCCCCAGTGCAAAAGGTGTCAAGGTTGAAGCCTCACCAAAGCTTACTGCCACAAAAATCCGAGATGTGTTAAATATGCTGGTGAACATTAAAGTGAAAAAAATCCCTGTTTCAACTGTAGAGAAAATCATCCAGCGAACTACCGAGGATGCATTGTGATTAAGGAACTATAAGCCATCAGGAATAAGAAAATCGTATGCCAAAAAAGCGAGTGGTGAAACTGCAGAGAATACTGTAAATACATTAATCGATAAAAAGTAAATAAGAAACAATAATAAATCATCCTGAAGATGATTGCATGTAACAATCGAAACCGGTAGAACCGACAAATAAAAAGCATCCATCTATAAATTCACATAGTTTTATTTCAATTATAATAGAAGAAAAAGCCCTAATACCAACACATCAATTTGGGTTTCAGAATAAACATGCAACAATAGACCAAGTGCATAGAATAACGAATACCATCGAAATAGCAATGGAAAAAAATAAAATCTGCTCCGCCGAATTTTTGGATGTTGCACAACCTTTCGACAAAGTCTGCTTAGATGGTTTAAATTACAAACTAGACCAAATACTACCATCAACGTATAGTCAACTATTAAAATCGTATCTTTCTGATCGATATTTTAGAGTAAAATACGAAAACGATTATTTACCATTACATCAAATACGAGCCGTAGTTCCTCAAGGAAGTGTGCTTGGCCCAACACTGTACTTACTCTACACATTCGACCTTCCTCAGGTACCAGAAACTTTAACAGCTACATTCGCAGATGACGCAGCGATCTTGGCTGTTGCAGAAAATGAAGTAGTTGCAGCAAATAAGTTACAACTTACCGCAAAATATCTTGGTATGACGCTGAATGCCAAACTCAAATGGAAAGCTCACGTCAAAAAAAAAAAACGTGAGGAGCTTGATATCAAATTTAGACACCTATATTGGCTTAATGGCAGAAAATCAACGCTATCACTAAGAAACAAGTTGCTAATATACAAGCAAGTATTAAAACCAAAATGGACATACGGAATCCAACTGTGGGGTTGTACCTGCAAGACAAATGCAAGTCTGATTCAAAGATTCCAGAGCAAAGTACAAAGGTGCATAGTGAATGCACCCTGGTAGATAAGAATCACCGACCTCTATCTCGACTTGAAAGTAGCATCGGTATCATCAGAAATTGCAACTGTCGAATTGTCAATAACCTAACCTTCAAATTCAAAATTCAAAATTGCCTGTGTGTGAACCTTCCTCGCATTCAACCAATCACGTGCAAGGTCAATCTGGTGACNTTTATACATCTTGGATTTTGCACCGTTAGAGGATGTAAAAAGAATCCATGAAATAACAAACATATTAAGAATGCGTGTTAAAATCGAAGAGTACAGAAAGCCAAAACTAATGCCCCAGTGCAAAAGGTGTCAAGGTTGAAGCCTCACCAAAGCTTACTGCCACAAAAATCGGAGATGTGTTAAATATGCTGGTGAACATTAAAGTCAAAGAAATCCCTGTTTCAACTGTGGAGAAAATCATCCAGCGAACTACCGAGGATGCATTGTGATTAAGGAACTACAAGCCATCAGGAATAAGAAAATCGTATGCCAAAAAAGCGAGTGGTGAAACTGCAGAGAAAACTGTAAATACATTAATCGATAAAAAGTAAATAAGAAACAATAATAAATCATCCTGAAGATGATTGCATGTAACAATCGAAACCGGTAGAGCCGATAATTAAAAAATCTATAAATACACATAGTTTTATTTCAATTATAATAGAAGAAAAAGCCCTAATACCAACACATCAATTTGGGCTTCGGAATAAACATGCAATAATAGACCAAGTGCATAGAATAACGAATACCATCGAAATAACAATGGAAAAAATAAAATCTGCTCCGCCGAATTTTTGGATGTTGCACAAGCTTTCGACAAAGTCTGCTTAGATGGTTTAAATTACAAACTAGACCAAATACTACCATCAATGTATAGTCAACTATTAAAATCGCATCTTTCTGATCGATATTTTAGAGTAAAATACGTTCCTCAAGAAACTGTGCTTGGCCCAACACTGTACTACTCTACACATTCAACCTTCCTCAGGTACCAGAAACTTTAACAGCTACATTCGCAGATGACACAGCGATCTTGGCTGTTGCAGAAAATGAAGTAGTTGCAGCAAATAAGTTACAATTGGCCTTAAATTGAATAGAAAACTGGACCAAACGATGCTAATAAAACTAAATACAAATAAATCGACATACATAAACTTTACTTATAAGAAAGTAAACTATGTCTCAGTACACATAAATAGCAATGCAGTCTCTTACTGCAAAATATCTTGGTATGACGCTGGATGCCAAACTCAAATGGAAAGCTCACGTCAAAAAAAAAACGTGAGGATTGGCTTAATGGCAGAAAATCAACGCTATCAGTAAGAAACAAGTAGCTAATATACAAGCAAGTATTAAAACCAAAATGGACATACAGAATCCAACTGTGGGGTTGTACCTGCAAGACAAATGCAAGTCTGATTCAAAGATTCCAGAAGAAAGTACTAAGGTGGATAGTAAATGCACCCTGGTATATAAGAATCACCGACCTCCATCGCGACTTGAAAGTAGCATCGGTGTCATCAGAAATTGCATCATTCGATGTCCTGCGTTGCCTTCAGAGGATGAAGCCGTTCCATTTAGTGACTTAGTGCCCTAGTCAATAAGCTGCAAAACATTATCTAGTTTAATTTGGTGTTAAAAATAAGTAACTAATTAGTATGTATTTACTATACTCTGTTTTTAAAACCAGGAGGAGTAAACGCGAAAGTCAGATTTACACCAAGGTTTATAGAACATAAGGTTACCTCATTCCCTATGCCTCTGTAGTATCGATTATTACCCCGCAAATTGACGTCACTGGTTCGATACAGTCAGAATAAAAGATAGCCTATACATGTGCCTATACGTGACAACACGATGCGAGGTTTAAATATTTTATATAGACTGTACCACAGTATAGGTGGTGTTGTGTTGTTCATAGAACCAGCTACGTCACTGACCCACCTTGCCTCTCAGAGGAGGAGAATCGGTATTGGGTAACCTTATGTTCTATAGACCTTGGGTTT